CTGATAGGAGTTGATACATGACGATTTAGGTAGGCGCTGTCACCACTGGATGACTTATCCCAAGCATCCAGATCTACTGTTACTATATATACTATCATGAAGCGACAACTAAACCCACCGGAAGACTACTGTGTCGATTCGTGGACAAAGTGATTGTGTTTTCCGCCTGTCCGGAGCTACCTCCGTGATACTTTGGTCGTTTCAGGGAGTTACAAAGAACATTTTGAAACAGCAATATTCCGGAGGCACCTGCTGGTATAAGCCGATGGCCGATGCATGTAGTATGATTCGGCACATCAGCGTGAAACGAGTGGTGTGTAGACAACAGTGACACTTTAGTGGAGATGCTCACCAACACGTGCGTTGCGATGGGCGCGTCTCTCTATACGATGGTGAACATGATATACTAGGAAGTAATATGATGTCAGTGACAGGGATGAGATGGAGACCAATCCTGCAACATTAGTTGTTCTGACATCCCTAGCGTGCTCTTCGGACCCTAAGAAATTATCATAGGCACACGACACGCGAATTTATGACTACGCCCCCCTCGTCTTCTTCGCAGCAATTTGCGGGAGTAGTTTCCGGCCTTAGGCGTATTCTGACCACTGGTCTCATTAGGCCATAGATGTCATGTCCTTATTAACTACTGACCGATAATTTTCAGGTGGCAGATATGCGGAGTTTATCACCCACTTGACGGTGGCCTCAAGGGACTCGAGATGTGACTCGCAGAAAGGGGATTCTGTCTCAGCTGCGCCTCCTTGCGCTTTTCGCTTTTCAGGATTGGCCCATGCGAATCTTGGCATAACTTTGAAGAGAATCTAGTCCACATCCCGCCAGCGTAGCAGAGACCATCTGACAAGTAACGGTGCCAAACATATGTCAATCGTCTCTAACCGTGTAGGAAGCGTAGCTAATGCGGGTCCGTAAATACAAGATGGAAGTCCTCGCTCTTTCTTGGTAAGCTCACATCGATCAAACCAGAATTGGAGAGTTTTGAGAGGAGAGCACACGTCCTTTTCTTGGTGGAGAAGCCATCGTTAGACCGGAGCATAAATGGGAAACAGCAGGAGTGGGGTTCTTCAGCAATGGGTGGAGCCGTAAGCGAGAACTAGAAGAGTCTGTACCAGAACACGAAACCCCCTTTTGAGAAGATCCAGAGAGAGTCTCTACGGAGGTAGTACTACCGCGGACACGACCAAGATCCCGGCCGAAACAGAATGAGTATTTGGTAATTTTTGTGAGATTTACGTAGGATGTTGTGATGGGTTCATCCTCTGTTGTGTTTACTGGGTCCGAAAGCGGAAGGGCAGCCTGAGGCTTTCCACCGTGGCCCAACCCAAACCAAATACCCGAGCAAATAGCTTCACGGCGGTCCTGATCACATCACATTCATGATTTACACACTGCCATGCCACATCTCTCGGATATCGTCGGACACAATAAGACGTTAAAGGATACAGTAACAGTCCCATCACCCTTTAAGCACACGCTCATACTCCTAACCCCACGAACACCGGGCATGGATGACCTGAACAATGCGGGGAAGGATCCCCAACCCGGCAAAGCACATGCATTAGTCGATGGGAACTAATTATTACCCTCACACTATCATAAGGGACTCCGTGCGGACTTCCGCGCGGGCAAGATGATCATATGGCCATACGCGGAAGGATTATCTCACCTCTCAGGAAGGGATCTACATCTGATTCAGTTGTGAGTGGCCATCCCACCGGGATGAGCATTGCTGACGGGCACGGCACTCTTCACGGATTGAACCTTACTTGGGTGTACATTCGTATCCAGTAGATAAGAAGATGCAAGCTGAGCGTCTTGTCCCATTTCTGGCTTCGTTGGCTGGTTTAGAAACTATTCATGGGGCGGAGGACATTTCTCATTCGGCCTTGGAGGAAATTAAGCACAGTTGTTCCGCCTAACAAGAGCCACAGTCACCGGTCATATTGTCTTAGATACATTGCTTGAAGTCACCAAAACCTTCCGTATACGGCAATAATCCGGCATAGACAGACGAAAATTTGATTTGCTGCCTTGTGGCCCACATTAGCCTGTTGGACAGACAGTGCGCTCTGATCTACTAGCATCATCCTCTAGGCATGCGTATATGATCGGGCACTGCTCAACCAACGTCTTCGGTCACGAGTCTCCCAACAACACTTCATCTATGGGCGTACAGTCTGACAATATTCTCTGGTGGTACGAAGATTGAAGAACAAGGAGACACCCGTAGACTCATCATTTCATTACCTAGAACCGTCATAACTGCTGACTGTCACATAGGCCTGCCTAGTCTGAAGGTTCCGGAAGGGGAATGAACACGGTAGACCTTAGAATGGTTTGCCGGCGGGAAATTGTACATTGCCCAGCCATATGTTCATTTATCCCCACTTGATGCCGTAGTTGGTCACATAGAGGGGATCCCAGACATCAGAATGTAATACATGAATAAGTGAATAAGAGTGTGGCCTTAATTGGTACATGTAGATTTCCCCCTCTCCTCTCGCAAATCAACACAATCTGATCGAATCATTCCAGGAGCATAAGAAGCACAAGAAATCAATTCTCCCATGTCCACAATACGCGGATCGAATAAACTAGCGCATAAGTCATCAGAAGGGATCCATCTTGGCATGGAGCAGTCCTTGGATTGTACACCGAAGAAAACGAAGGAACGCATGCGATATGCCAATGTAGACGACCAGCGCGCACGACGACAAAGAAGTAGTGACTAATCTCCGATCAAACCACGCTTTTCCCGGCGGCCCATGAAGCTGAAGTACCAAGTTGGTTCGCCATGTTTGATCCGACAACCTCTATCCCAATTTCGTAGCTCATTATGCATCCAGTAATCATCATCCCTGTCACCACCTGACCGTAGATCCTTACTAAGGTCCATGCAATCCAAACAGAGACCATCGAAATATTTGCTCACTGTGCTCGCTGCTTCAGAACAATATCTCCCCAAGATTGATTGCAGGAAATGCATGACCCAACTTTCCCAGTTCTGGGGTTTGTATAGGATCTCATATTTTTTGCATCGAATAGACTCAGTCTTTCGAGCATCTCTTGAATACTTTGGTTTCTCATGGAGTCCTCCAGGGGCCAAACTTCGATCCTCCCTAGCTCGCGCAAATATTCGAAAGTCGTAAGTTCCTTACAGGAACATTCGCCAGTGTTGACGATATGTCCGACTTCGGCGTATAGCTCTCGGTGGAGAATGACACGTAGGCGCCCACGGGCCGCATTGATCTGCTCTGAAATTGTAGCATTAGTGACATAATCAGAATCAAGATATTGAAACACCCACGGATGATGCGCGGTGGCAAATGCATCTGTCTAATATCGGTCGGATTGCTCTCGGTGATGTGGCCCACAGATTTATAAACGAGCCTTTTGGTAACCTCCTGAAAAGCAGAGGCATGGTCAAATACGAAGCATGGATACATTGCTTCCCTAGCAAACCGCATGTAGTGAAATGTGTTGATTTGCTTCTGGGTCTCATGTCTCCACCAATTCTTGAACCATGAACTCAGTCTTTTCTGATCAACGTTATACTTATCGCAGGACATGATCACATGCCATGTCCCTGCAATAGTCACTGAATCGAGAGGCATGTCCTCGAGGGTGCCGTGAAGGCTTCGCAGGAGAACTTCCATGCCCTTGCAGTTGTCCTCCAGGGTAATCTTCCGACTTTCAGATTCAAGCCATCGCCCGTGGCTAAACATTGCTCGAAAGTATTCAAACTCAAGTAGCTTGTGGCGCTCAACTTTCATTGAAACGCTTCTTACTATCTTCTTTCCACCCATATAAGCCCCAGTGTATTCCGTGATAAGGATCTCGGTATCCGCGTGTGGGGAGATGGCTATCTCCTGGATTTCAGCGTCAGAACTCATCTTGAATGTGGCTTTGGGAACGAATTAGGAGAAAGTGAAGAGAAACGAAAACGCAGTTGGATGCTTTGGAATGAAGTTCAGCTTGGGAGTGGGAGAAAGGTTAGAAGAGATGCTGAAGCGAGGAAGGAGGAATCCTGCGCGTTGTGAAGGTAAACTTCGTTGGTGGTACGCGTGTTGCTCTTGCAGGTATTACTCAGTCACTGAGACAAGTATCAGGAAGTGAATTAAATCTTCCAACACCTCAGTCTCTCTAGTTAGAGGGCTCACATTTAGCTAAGTGACGCCCCTTAGACATGGAGTAGTGTTCCAAATGATCCAAGTGTTGTCTTGAAGTAACAATGGTTGTGGGTGGAGCACCTCTGGTTGAGAGAGAGGATGAAACTGAGGACCCAAAATTTCTGGGCAATTCACTGAGAGAGATTAATTCACTGAGTCAGAGAGACTGAAAGTAAGGTAAATCTAAGATGAGATGAATGCAGTTATGAGTTGACGAATCCTAAAACTTGTGCTACCAGTGACCGTCCATCTTTCAATTCGTTTCATTGTAGAATCCAACATTGCTCAGAATCAAGTTGAAGCGAAAGGTGAGCGTACAAACTCCAATATCCTCTGTGAACAAAGCTGATAGAATAGACAGCCAGCAGTGTACAGGGAATGATATGTGACTGAGAAGTGTCAGGTACGTGTCAGGGGCAGCTGCCGACATCTCAACTGCCTCTTTCCAAACATATAGCTCCTGAAGAGAAGGTTCATGTCCCTCGCTGAGCAGACACTGTCAATTTCTTTTTCGCTCTCTCTATCCCATCTCGTGCCTCTCTTCTGACACAGAGAAAAGGGAGCCGTGTTCCGTATCTGATCGGTTCCCCTGCGGCTTTCTCGGCCAACTATTCCTCACAAGCCCAGTCAGCGGTCTCTTCTGCCAGTCTTGTGGGTTTTTCTTCATCCCCAAACTTTGGATACGGAAAGGCACAAACGTCTCTTCTTCCGAGTCAGCCCTCTGCACCCTACTCACTTGCTGAACAGCCCCCGCTGGGCCAACGGGGGATCACTACCACAAATTCAAAAAATACAGCTGTCGGAACCACCATGGTTCGTCGTAAGTCGACCATCGCTGCACCCAAACCAGGCAAGGGAACTCGGCCCAGTAGGAAGCATTTGATAGAGGAAGACACCTCCAATGACGACAACGCAGGATCCTATGGATCAAAGAGAAGTAAACTGGAATTTATCGAGAAAGGGCGAGGATCCCTTATTCAGATGTTCCCTCCCCCATACCGTTGTTACGAAAATAGGCCATCTCCTTACTACTTCATGTCGTTACCTCCCCGCTGTCCCATTCTCGACGAGGTGACGGTACCCACTGCAGTCATAGGAATGACTACCAATGAGCTATGGCTCAAGCGAGATGACATGTTCTATAACATGGACCACGAAGCCCTGTCGCTGTGTACCGACACAAAGAGCCTATACAGATTGACAAACCTGCAAGGCAGGACTATGAAACTTGAGGACTGCCAGTTCCTACCTCAGTATGCCAATCATCTTCAACGACTAAACCTCGCATTGACACTTACGAACGATTATGTCAAGCAACTCGAACAACAACGCGATCAGATGCGGACAGACATGAAGAGCTGGCGAGCTGAGCGACGCGAATGGGAAGCGACTATTCTTGCAGCCAACGGTATGCGGGCACCCGTCCTCGAACCTCTTGTCCAGGCAGAGAAAGAGAAGGAGGCTCAGGGTTACTTCCCGGAAGACTTCGCTGGCTACCACCCTGATCATACGGAAGAAACACCCAAATTTCTCCACGTCTTCCACCATAAGAAAGAAAATGGCTCCATGTCGTCCCATCTACACGGCAAGCTAGTCGTGACCAATGCCTTGTCACACAAGATCCAGTCTGCCGTCATTGCTGAAGAAGATCAACTTGAGGTAGCCGCATGTATACTTAGGACTGCCGTACCTCTAGTCAAGCGTAAAGAGCAGTCACGTCTCCAGCGGACAACTCCCAACGCCCAGGCTCTCCAAGGTCATGTGGCCGAGGATGAAGATTTCCTCGGCGCGTTCGATCCCCCTTTGCCACCTATGTCTGAAAAGTGCTGGAACCTAGACGAGGATAACCCCATCCTTCACCGTGAACTCTTCCTAAAATGGGTCATGGGTCGCTACATGATGTGGAAACCAAAGGTCCTCAAGATCGCGAGTGCTGAGGATTGTCGAGAATTCTTCAGACTGCCCAGTATGCCCATCCCTTCACCTTGGCCCTCCTCAATCAGAGAACTTAAGCTCCCCTCGCCAACATGTTGGAGGGACCATAAACCTTGGCAATTTCCTGCTTTTGTACTTCTGGCCTTCGTAAAGAAAAGATCTAAAGCGAATAAATTAGTGACAATCAACGCATTATTCGTGAAGGAAACATTAAGGGTCCTTCGGGAGATGGAAATCGCCTGGCAGAATATGGATGCTAGCAGTCGCTGGTTTCGTCTAAAAAATAATGACACAAAAATGGACTGGGTAATTGAAACGGCTGTCACACTCTTCAACGCCCTCTATCCCAGCGACAATGTGCATGAGCCCGAGTCCGAGTCCGATTTCTAGGATATAGGTGACCAGCCTAGCTCTCCTGAAGCCCGTGACATGACCGCATTGTATCTCCTTTCCCAACTCCACTGAAACACTAACATGAATGCCCATTATTTTCTTTCGATAGCTGTATTTAGGTACACTGAATCTACTCTCACCTTCCATTCACCCTAGCATAGTTATACCTTTAATTCACAAACTTTTAGATTGTGATAAATTTCGAGTACAAAGATAAACTATATATACTGTTCTTGCCTCTGAGCATGATTAATCTTTCTCCTTATATGCTTCCTGTTCAGCCAAATGAGGCTGGAAAAATAGTAACTCGCGCCTCACCAATAGTAACTGCACAGAACGTACGTAGATTAGTACGTTCTATGCAATTGCTATTATCTTAGAAGTGAGTGGTTTACACTCCACGGTATAACTAGACTAGTCTTCAACTGGTCCTCGTGGCGCTTTCTAAATTGGTCGTACTGATTCCGTATATCACAACCCGATGACACATGTATGGCCGCCAGAAATGGATTTAAGGAAACGAAACTATCAGTTGCATTTCCAAAATCCTGAGCTCTTCGACATTATGCTGCATATCACGCTGCATGAAGTAGAGAGCAGATTGACGACGAGGAAAGTGCTACTAATTGTTTGAATATAGGAAGGCATAAAACACACAACGCCGAGCTTGAAAGGGAATTCTTGTACGTGAATTACCCTTTCTCAGAACCATAGCACTAGCACCTCTTTGTTCAAAATATCCCTTTCATAAAACTGCTTTTTGCTTTGACATCAGTTGACTGGGTACACGTCTAAAGGACGGATGAGCTTGAGATATTCACTCCAGCCAGGATCAGCTGATCCTTTGCCTCCTCTTCTTCCTGCGTGTGTCTCCGACCGCCACTCTCCTAACCAACCATACTTTTGAGATCAGATAGATCAAATATACATTCCTCCCTTCGTATTGATAGATGATACTGTGATTCTTCCCTCCATTATATCAAACCCCATCGCAAAATTCTACGGATGGCCATTTGGCCAGCCTTGGTATCGGGCTGGCAAGTCTTCTCTACCTTGCTGGTCCTGAAGTACTTGTGTACCTTGCCATAGCCTGCCTTCGAATCAGGTAAATAAGTCCATACAATGATGTTATCAAATATCCTGTCAGTCGTTGATATGACTAACACGATAGCGTTCGCTAATGACAGGTTTCCATCGCCACACATCGCAAATTTCGAGCCGAAGTCTGTCAAAGATCTGGAGCGAGCCCTAGTTCTCTGGCGGAGGCATGTAAAAGGTAATTCAGTGGTTAGGACCTGTACTTGGGATTCCTCACTGACACTAGGGACTCTCTCGATGGAAAAGCCGAAGCTGGAGAAGCTGAAGATGCTCCCTCGCCAGTTGTTCCCCTGCAAGATCCTCCCGCGCCAGTTGTTCGCCCGCACGACTGGGAAGCTCGTGATTGCGAGGCCAGCGACTCAGAAGTTGGAGATCCCGAGATTTCCCCGATGGACTTGGACGTGTTGAGATCAGCACTACGCAGGGACCTCAGCCGTCTGAAGAACCTTATGCAATAATTCGTGGGAAGAAGCTTAATTGACTAAGGACCGGATGACGTTGTATCCTGGTGTCTTTCATTTCAATTATTAGCCTGGCAGTAACACTATTCTGCAATACTCGTTCGTTATTAGATGTTGAGACATTCGAGTCACCCCTGATGCTTGGTGGCCATCAATATATCGTTAATTTGGTCTACTTGGCAGGAATCTGTTTTGACATTAGATAGAAAATACAATTCTTACCAAGCACATCCCTTCTCAGTCACACATATTGTATTCTTGCACAAGGCCATCAATATTACTATCGGATGATCGCCTTCGAGGTTGCAATATCAACGCATATTAATTGTGTCTGTTAAGATGGTACATGGGAAGGCCAGGAGAAATCCAGGGGTAGTCAAGTGGTGTGGGACGAGATCCAGCTTCACATTTGGGTGCGAATTAGAAAGAGCGAGGTGCATAAGGGAGAAAACTTCTGCGTGCGTCAAGGTACCTGAACATCAGTTATTCCAAGTATATTGCTTCGCCTCCTTCTCAGCACAACTTTCTTTTCCTTTCATCCCTACATCGCCATGTGTGGCCGACTATACAGTTCCTGTGGTAAGCGATGCAAAGCGAAGACTTCACTTGTCCCACTGCTGAAGGTGTCAGCGAGTCAGAGAATGGCGCAAGCAGCGGTTCGCTCCACCGCCTCCGATAAAACCACCCCGCATCTACTGTAACTCCTCAACAGCCTATATCAACCTTCACCATGATATCCAGCTCAAGTTCCTTCACCTCGATCCCCGTCTTAGATTATGCCCAGGCATTGTCAGCAGATGATAGGCCCAAGTTTCTCGCCAACCTGCGCAATGCCTTGGTCAACGTGGGCTTCTTTTACCTCATCAACGCCCCGATTGCGGCTCGGGTGCGCGACGAGCTAATCGAGAAGACCTTCCACATATTTGATCTGCCACTCGAGAAGAAGCTGGAAATCGAAATGGTCAACAGTAAGCATTTTCTGGGATACTCTAGACTCGGAGCAGAGACCACAGCTCGGCAAATCGATTATCGAGAGCAATTCGATGTGCGACCGTCACAACCCCGGAAAATCACTCAAGACTGACAATCGTAGTTTGCGACTGAGTTGCCTCCTCCAGCGCCCGATGCACCTCTCTACCGTAATATCAGAGGTCCGAATCAGGTGGGTCATGTCTATTCATGTAAACCACAAGATACTAACACAGTGCAGTGGCCCGATGAGAAAGCCATCCCTGGCTTCCGTCACGCCGTCGAGGCGTACCTGGCTGAGATGAGCCCAGTTGCCGAGGCATTCAGGACCCTCATCGCAGAAGCACTGGACTTACCGCCGACAGCACTACAGCAATTCTTCGAGAACCCAACACAGCAGAAGCTAAAACTGATCAAATACCCACCCCCATTAACTCCATCCGAAGCACAAGGCGTCGGAGCCCACAAGGATTCCGAATTCCTGACATTCTTACTCCAAGCCACACCGCATACCGGACTTGAGGTGCAAAACAAAGCAGGGAAATGGATCCCCGCGCCGCCAATGCAAGACTCGTTAGTCGTCAACATTGGTCGCGCGCTCGAGGCTATCACTGGCGGGGTCTGCACAGCCACAACGCACCGAGTAAATTTGGAAGCGGAGAATTTCGTCGATGCGCAGGGGGCGCCTCTGGGACCGCGGTTTTCTATTCCTGTGTTTCAAGGCATGAGTCTGGACTTATCAGCGGAGAATATTTCCCTCGACATCCCGGCGCATATCAAGGATCTGATCAAAGATGACAAAGTCAGATCAGATGCCGAGGCGACCTTCAATAAAATATTCAAGGGACGGGTCGGCGAAGGTACGCTCATACATCGGGTCATGAGCCACCAGGATGTCGGGCGGCGGTGGTATCCGGAGTTGTTAGACTGGGCCTTGGGCGAGTATGAGAAGTAGAGCTTAACACTAGCATTTCAGGTGGTAGATAACACGGGCCGGTGCCTGTATATAGCTAACGTTGAAGAAGGTAAACTATCCTCTATACCGATGGGCTCCAACGGAATATTTAATCGCTCTAGCGTCTTGTACATTGATCGGTCTCTGCCAACTATCCTTTCCAAAGCCAGTGATCAGCACTAGTCCACATCATCTACCTCTTGTTCGTCTTCTACGTCTATCATATCGACCCCCTCGCCCTCGTCACTATTATCGCCTGCCTCTTCTTCCAGCACAACCGTCAAACAAATCACCAAATAGACCACCCCCGTCGCGCGGTTTTTCAAGACGTAGCGCAGGACATTGTTCTTCTCACTGACATATTTGCCAATATGGAAGCTGAACCCGGGTATCCGAATCGCGAATTCTGTCGCGTATTAGCTTCGAAGGTCACTCAAATAACCCGACTATAAATGGAGTAACGCGGATAATGTACCATTAAAATCCAAATACCCATTACCAAAATCCGCAGCATAAGTCCTCCCCTACTCAAAGACAAAGTCCTTTCGTTTCGCCTCTCCCTGGAAATGCGCTCTCCGTGATGACGAGCTATCGGGTATATTGTACCCTTTCCGAACCTCCACCCCAGATCCTGTGCCGCCTTCTTGCACTATGATATTCTCATTGTTCTCAGCCCCCTCGTCTTTATCGCCAATCGCGAACTGGTTCCATGATGCTAGTCCAGGGCTATATAGATATGGCTTGTCGGCATATGCGTCGCCATCCAACGAGGGGTCGAGCGTGGACTTAACGATCTTTAACGCGGTATTGAATCCGGTTGGGAGGTATGAGCGGATCGGGTGGTCGAAGTCATTCCCGAAGATGAGGTCGTTGCCGTTTACGTCGTGGGTGAAATTGAGGGTGAAGGTGAGGGAGAAGAGGTTTTGGCTGAATGGAGGGGAGTCGAAGTAGGTGTTTGTTTTAGGGGAGGTGGTTGGATAGCCTGTGTTTGTTAGGATGGTTGGGTGAGTGTTGACGGGTTAGAGATGAGGGTGTAGACACCTGTATAATCTTTGATGCGGACCCAGAGGTTACTGGCTAAGTGGTCGCTCTTAAATTGCAGAGGAGAGGTACTATTTACGGTGACGGTTTCGTGGGTTTCTGGTGCGTAGGATGTTCCTGCGGTGACTTTCAGGCGGCGATTTTGGGGAGGAGGGGCGCTGGAGAACATGTTGGGTAGTACTAGGTCGCAGTAAGAGCTATTTACACGTATATTATAATATCAGAAAGCTTCAGCAACATCTGAATTGAATAGAAGTGTATCAAGATAGCAAGAGATATTTGCCTCCCGACAATGGTCTAGTTTGTGTTGAGTAGCTCTCTCAACCTTGGAGTCATCGAAGGCCGTTGGCTACCGGGAATGACGTAAATCATCACAACTTAATCCCAGATAAGATATGACGCACAGAAATGCAGCATTAGTCATCACATATTATGCAGATTAACTATCTCTGGATTAAAGCGCGGGTGATCATCTCACCCTCCAACGCTCTTATTGTACAAAGTACCAGGCAAGCATGTCAGAATCAAAGTGTCAAGTCTACAGGGCAATGGCTAGAATGTCCCCTGTTTATTCAGGCCAAGATTGTCCTGAAGCGACCTGAAATGCAACCCTGTTTTCCTTTTCGCCCCCGGCCATGGCATCGCGGTGACACTATCCTGATATCATACTTACGCGCGAAGTCAATTAGCTAGCTCTGCAACCTTAATATCCTCCGCCAACGCACCTCTCAACAACATTTCTATCTCTAGTCAAAACCTCAGAAACATATCAATTCTGAACAGAAACCAAGAATAAAAATGCAGTCCATTCTACAACCCATCCTCGGTCCTCATAAGGAGATCCATGATCTCACTGGCCGTGTCGCCCTCATCACTGGCGGTGCACTAGGCATAGGGTCAGTTTTCTGCCACAGTATATCCTGATAGCAGCTAACCCAGGAATGTAGGTACGAGATTGCCCGCGCGTTCGTTCTCAATGGCGCCAAGGTATACATGACCAACCGCAAAGAAGAACAAGGCCAAGCTGCGATCGAACAAATTAAGAAAGAAGCCGGCGAGAATGCGCAGATCGAGTGGTTCCCATGCGACATGGGGAACTTGAATGAAATTAAGGAAGTGTTTGAAGACTTCCGGAAGAAGGAAGATCGACTAGATCTTGTGCGTTCCCCACTCAATATCCCTCGAAGTTGTCAATACTGACATGGACGACAGCTTATTCTCTCGGCGGGAATTAACGTCAACCAATACGGCGAGACACACGACCACATCGATCGCCATTTCGAGGTCAACTGGCTGGGCCAGTTCTATGTCGTGAATCTGGTCTATCCGTTGCTGAGAAAGACGTCCAAGTTACCGAATACCCCTGCGCCCAGAATCGTCTTCGAGACCTCAGAGCAGCATCGCATGGCGCCTAAGAATGTTCATTTCGCTACGCTAGAGGAGATCAACAACCCTGAGGTCGGCAACCTGGAGCTTTACGGTCGGACGAAGTTGGCCATCATTCTTGGAGTGAAGTACGGACTGTTGGATCGGGTAATCAAGCCTAACAATGACAATATCTACGCGCTGTCTGTGCATCCAGGCGCTGTAAGTTATATCCCCACTGCCCCTTACTATAGATAGCCGTACTAACACGATGCTCAGGTAAACACGGCGATGCAACAACAATGGAAGGACGCATATCCCGGCCTCTTGGGCAAGCTTCTAACCACAGTAATGCTGGCAGCCGGTCGAACACCCGAGCACGGCTCCTTCAGCGCACTGTATGCGGCGACTAGTCCCGAAGTTGAAGAGAAGGGTTGGAACGGATACTACTTCAGTGACCCTGCACAGCCCGGAAAGGAGTCTGCGCAGGCGTCAGATCCTTCGTTGGGTGCTGCATTGTGGGACCTCAGTCACAGGATCATCAAGGAGAAGGTTGGCGATGATGCCATTGTCGACTGGAATGCCAGTGCATGAGGCAGACACGACTTTTAGCGATTGAATTGTATATTATGATAATGATGTTTTATATCAGCTTCTAGAATGTAGCTCAATATTGCAAGTTTCTTTCGAGGGTGCCATCAGCTACTGCAAATGTCGCGCCATAATCATCCCGGAGAATCTCACTTTCTCTCCTTCAGTATACATTTTCTCGATTTCCATTAGAATACTGCCTACGAATCCAGATCATCCGCCTAAAAAGTTAGCATATGCTCTACGGGCACAATCTTATTTCCGCCGGACTTAAAATCACAAGTTTCTCCCATGCTATTGCACCAGTCCCCCTCCCGGGGTATGCATCGAAGCGCGGTTCCGGCCCGTTGCCGGCCTTCCAGTGGCCCACCGGTCTCTGCTTGCAACGATCCCGGCCACCACGGGAATTGGTCGCTGCTCGCTAAAAGCCGGGCGGAAGCTATCTCCGGCAATGAAGGATCTCTAGCCCAGGTATAGATAGACAGACTGCCCCTCTTTCTTACTCTACGCTTTATCCAACTCAATTAAACAACCCATTGTCGAGCCAATTCACCACTAAAGATATAAAACATCCCACTGAATACCGCAACAATGACCTGCGAAGCGTGCCGTACTATCCCTCCTGTTATTTCGGAGGGGTATACACCCAAGGGGAGTTATACGCAGATTGCTGATTTGAAGACATGTACATCCCTCACTTTTATCAATTGGTCTCTTGTGGAAATAGCCAACTCACTAGTAATCAAGATATCACCGGTCCCTCAACTGCTACCATTGGCATCATCGACATCTACGACATCTTCGGTATCTCCAACCAAACCATCCAAGGTGCTGATCTCCTCGCTGCGCGACTTAATGCTCTCGTCCTAGTCCCTGATTTCTTCCACGGTGAGCGCGCCGATCTGGCGTGGTTCCCGCCGGATACGGAGGAGAAGAAGCAAGCTCTCTTTGGGTTTATTAATACCAAGGCATCGGTGGCGGAGAAGGTGGGTGTGTTGGGGAAGGTCGCTGAGGATGCGAAGGTGAAGTTTGCGTCGGTGAAGAGTTGGGGTGCGTTTGGGTTGTGTTGGGGTGGGAAGGTGAGTATTACTTATTTCTCAAATGGATATTGTTTGGGTAGAGTGATGGTTATGTATGCTGACGGTATTGGCAGGTTACTGCGCAGGTCTCGGGGCCGAACTCGCCTTTTGTTGCTTCGGGGCAGGTGCATCCTGGGTATGTTTTGTCAATCATGAGGATGATAGATGAAGTTGCTGATAGAGCATGAATAGGTTCTTGGATGCCGAGGAGGCTAAAAAGCTGACTATTCCTCATATCGTGCTTGCGTCTAAGGATGAGCCCGTTGAGGCCGTCAAGGGGTACACAGAGGTTATTGCTAGCAATGGCATTGGTGGTATTGTCGAGACTTATCCTACCATGTGGCATGGCTGGATGGGTGCTCGTGCTAAGCTGGAGACTCCGGAGGGATTGGCAGAGTACAAGCGGGGGTAAGCATGCCATTACCCATTAAAATAAAGGTTATCTGACGATGGTATAGGTACAATCAGCTGGCTGATTTCTTCGAGAAGTACCTCAAGTCGGAGGCGAAGATCTAGAGTGTCAACCGGATCAGTAGACTCAGACAGTGGGCGAAGTATATATTGTGACCATGTGCACCACCCGAACTCGGTGTTGGTAGGATATGATGCTAGATTCCATACTGAAAGACATCAAAAAAGGTAAAGAAATAAACAAATTAAAGAAACCCATAGAACTATCCCAAGATATGGTACTAGATGTTGTTGCAAAAACACCGGTAAAAGACTCATGCTGCGATGCCGACCGACCCACGTGGTCGGGCGAAGCCGCCAGCCACCTCCGACTCCCAACGTTTATCCCAGAAGCAACCCATCATATGATCATGACGTCCTCCCCCTCCGTCCTCGTCTTCGGCGTTGGCAGCGTCGGGGCCATCTACCTCCACCAACTGCAACAAGCTGGCTGCACCGTCACTGCCGTCTGTCGCTCCAACTACGATGTTGTCGCCCACCACGGCTTCACCCTGCGCAGTCCCCGCTTCGGCACCGTCACGTATCGCCCCGACCACACTGTTCGCTCCGTGCACGACTGTCCCCGCGACACCGGATACGACTATGTCCTTGTCACGACCAAGGCTTTCCCCGGTCGGACGCCCTCCCTAGCGGACCAGCTTCGACCGGTCCTTGAAAACCGTCCAAACACAGCCATTGTCCTGGCGCAGAATGGCATCGACATCGAGAAAGATATCGCAGACGCGTTTCCCTCCAATCCAGTCATCAGCGGGGTGGTATACCTCCCTACCGTTCAGACAGAAGCTGGTGTGATTGATCATGCGGAGCCCCTGGACCTCTTGGAACTAGGAACGTATCCGGCGCGCGCGCCGGATGGACATAGACGGGCGGCGGAGAGATTCGTCGAGTTAATGATAAAAGGAGGCGGGGATGCGGTGCTGTTTGAGGATATACAAGAGGCGCGATGGGCGAAATTGTTGCTCAATGCAGCATGGAATCCAATCTGTGCGTTGTCATTGTGCACGGATGGCGGGTTCCTGTTGACCTCGGAGCCGTTTGCGCGTGATTTGGCCTGGGGGATTATGATGGAGATTGTGGCATTGGCGAGGGCGGTAGGGATTGCGGGCGTGGATGAGGAGGCGGCGAAGAAGAGATTCGCATTGGCGGAGAGAAGGGCTAAAGAGGGGACAGGAAGAGAAATGAGTATGCTGCAGGATGTGAAGATGGGGAGGCCATTTGAGGTCGAAGCGATCGTGGGGAATGCAGTAAGACTGGGGAGGACATGCGGGGTGTCAATGCCCCGGTTGGAGACGGTGTATGCATTGGCCAAGGGGAGGCTAGATGTGTTAATGGGTGTGTAGTCATACTTGAGAGGCGATCAGTGATCTACTCTCCCTTAGACAGTAGACGTAGTTCAACTGATGGCGTGGTCCAGGCTCGCACGACAGATATCTGAGGCAGCAGTGACAGCGTGAAAGCGCCTGCCGCTTTGTGAATGGTGGCCTTTTATCTGCATTCCAAACGCAAGGGGCGTCTGTTACTTTGCGATCCCAGTGACAGCAGGCAACCACCAGGCTGGACAGTGAATGCACTGCTGCCTCATCTCAAATCATCCTGTCAAAGAACACCCGGCCAGCGAGAGAAACTCTCCCTCACTCTGCAGCCATTCAAACTTCCTCTCACTACTACCAAACCGCTTACTACCATACACTTCCTCTCGCTACCATCAAACTTCCTTTTACTACCACTCAAATTGCAGTGACTTCAAAATGGACACGGACGAATCACCCCCCGAGTTCTACGACGTCTACCTCACCGAACAGCACGGCGTGCGCAACCACCTTGCCATCTTCATCGAAACCGACCCCGACGCGGAACCCTTCTGCAACAGCGGACGGCTCTACCATGTGGTGGGCACCATTCTGCGCGGCATGGACTACGGCCATCGCAATACTCCCGATCCCGAACTGCTGCCCGGATACGTGATGGACTCGAAGCGAAAGATTGCCGTTATCGCCAAGGACGACGTTATCCGATTCGAGCGGGAGTGTGCCGAGGAAATCCCACCTCCCCCAGCTCAACTGACCCTCAGTGGGAAGCCCTTGAACCTGGCCGTACCTTTGTATCGCTGCACCGACTGGGTGGAGGATGTGGTCAAATTGGCCTTGGAGCTGGGCATCTTCAAGAGAGAAGGGACGGAGGGCAAGTTATACTTCGGATCGGACGAAAATTGACGAAAGGAGACTAGGAGGGATTATCGAATTGTGCTGGATGGAATGCAATGCAATACCATTGGGGGTCGGGGTCCGGAGTGTGTCAAATAAATGGAAAGCAAGAATGAGTCTCCACATGGACTGAAATGACAGTCGCGGAAGCGAGGATGGCCAGAACCGTGGCTCGGCATGTTCTGGAACGGGGGAGGTTGCAAACCAGCCAAACAGCATGACATGAACCGCCAACCACGGATGACTGGACGGATGCAAGTGCCGATTGGGGGTGGATATTCGTTAACTGGTGCCGTTATTCCCGAAAATGAAGCTAGTCGAACAGTAGTCCGTCAAATGGCAAGTTTATTCAGGTTAACCCCTCGGTTGGGTCTCCATTCCACTGTCCCATCTACTCTGGCTATACTTAGTATCTTCTGTAATCTGGCTATAATTATCACCCATTATAGTGCGATCGGATCACACATCTGGGGATAATGGCCCAACTCAATCTCTCTCGCTGGCCTCCCCCAGCTTAGGAACAGGGACTCCAACGGCCAGTGCCAAGGGGCGAAGCTTTGCGGTGGGGGCTGATCCGCCGTTGTTTCAGAAGCTCCTTTCCTTCAGGGGAGGTCTGGCCCGAGGAATTTCTGCTGCATATTTCATAAGAAGTTATTTCCCCGTGGAGACGTGTTCCCTCAGTTTTTCGTCCTGGATGTTCGTGGCCTCTTAGTCTAGACTATTCTAGCACTTGAACGTGTTCGTGGCCGTCTACGTAGCGACTAGAGAGTCGAACCCCTCCCGATACGTAGAGGGATCAGCATCTGGCCGGGGATAACATCATTTGCTCGGCGCTTCTCCTCTTTTCTGGTGGGTCAACGCCCCCTTTAGTCGGAAATCTTTCTTCTTCTTGCTCTTCCCGCCAAATTTTTTAGTTCTTTTTCCCCGGCCAAAGTCGTGCCAACGTCTTGTCTGGCATTTTCCAGGCCCCGTCAGTTGTCATTCGGCCGCTTCCTTTTCCCTTGCCACAGCATGTAAGTGCCGTTCCGTGGTACACTTTCCGAAAGTTCAGGCACAGCCAGGAACAATTAGAAAACTGAGACAAACCTGCAAGGAGCCTCTCGTGATTATTGTCATTAGTATGCCTACGGCTCAGCATGTCCAGCCCAGTTGACGATTCCAATACCCATCTGGGTCCTCCTCGACGCGACACCGACCCCTCCAGTGATGACGACCGTCTGGGTAACCGGTCGACCAACAATGACGAACGACCGTTGACCCGCGAAAACCCTCCTCCGCCCGCCGGCGGTAACCAGTGGGGCGTGCTCTTCAAAGCCATCCGCGATGGCACTTCACAACTCGCGGAAAAACTTGGTCGTGATCCTGACGGCGGTGATGGACTGGATTCGGCCTGGCACCCTGAAGATTACGGATTCCAAGAGGACATTGAGATGAGAGAGATGCTCGCACAGGAGGAACTCGAGGAGCATGCCTACGCTTCCAAGCTGCAGTCCGTGCTGGGTTCCGATGCCAACAATCTCGTGAAGAACCTGGGCTTGGGTGAAACTCCGTCGCGGACCAACAGTAATGATGAGAACCTCGTCGGAGGTGTACTCTGGCATTTACTCAGTCATCAGATGGGCCATAACCCGGAGGAAATCCATGACGATGGTGCGGTGCCAACATCTACAGAAGACGGACTGGCGCCGTTACCCACTGACCTGCGGAAGCGTCGCAAGAAGAAGTGGTACGACGAGGATCCAACGAATGACAAAGAAGGTCGGAAGAAAATGAAGGAAGAGCTGTTGACACAGAAGATTGGTTCGCTTCTCACCCGCCAGCGCTATATGATCCAGCTGTGTCGGGCATTGATGAAATTCGGCGCTCCGACGCATCGTCTCGAAGAATACATGCAGATGACGGCTTATCGACTGCGGGTACATGGCCAATTCATGTACATTCCCGGCTGCATGATTATCTCGTTTGACGATCCCCTTACCCGCACTGCGGAGGTCAAGCTGGTCCGCACAACCCACGGATTGGACCTCGGTCGACTCGGTGATATTCACAATTGCTACAAGAATGTGCTTCATGGCAGACTGTCGCCGGATGAGGCTCTTCCGGTCATGGACGATCTTCTTACCCGAAAGAGTCGCATTCATCAGGCCTGGTTGTTGGTTTTGCTGTCCGGCCTGGCGAGTGTGGCGGTGGGTCCGTGGGCGTTCAGCGCGCGCCCGGTCGACATGCCCATTATCTTCGTCCTGGGCTGTCTCCTCGGAACGTTGCAGTATGTGCTGGCACCACGATCGGCGCTGTACTCCAATGTGTTCGAAGTCACCGTGGCCATGCTCACGTCGTTCTTGGCTCGTGCATTTGGAAGCATTTACTACTCGAGCGGCGAGCCTGTTTTCTGTTTCTCCGCCCTAGCAGAATCATCCATCGCGCTCATTCTACCGGGATACTCTGTGCTGTGTAGCAGTCTGGAATTGCAATCGCATCAGATCGTGGCAGGATCCATCCGATTGGTCTATACCATTATTTACTCGCTTTTCCTTGGCTACGGCGTGACAGTCGGTCTCACGAATTACGGACTGATGGACGACAATGCGACCAAAGCCACATCCTGCCCTTCACGAGATACCAACATCTATGGCAGCGTGTACGTGCAGGAGTTTGTGTTCGTGGCCGTCTACTGCGCCTTTGCCGCCATCCTCAACCAAGCCAAATGGAAGCAGCTGCCGATCATGTCCTTCATGGGCGTCGCAGGCTACACAACCTACTACTTTACAGCCAACCACTTGGACAGTCGGTTCGGCAGTACCATTGGAGCTTTCACGATCGGATTGTGTGCCAACTTGTACAGTCGAGTCTGGCATGGACACGCTGCTGCGGCCATCGTGCCGGGCATGTGGACGCTGGTGTCGTCTGGTCTGGCTAGTAGTGGATCCATCATCTCCGGACTGGCGTACGCAGAAGCCGTGAAAAATAATACCGTTTCAGATTCGACAATGACCCAGACGCAGGAGTCATTGGGAGGGTTGGCTTTGAGTATGGTGCAGACGGCGTTGGGAATCACGGTAGGACTGTTTCTTTCCGCGATGGTGGTCTATCCTGGTGGAAAACGCAAGGGTGGACTGTTCAATCTGTGAATACGTTGCATCTATGTAGATAGCGTTTAACTGAACATACCAGTCTATGATCTATGATCTGTGATCTATTATCTATATCTATCCAATCTAATCACGTCCGTAATCTCTCACCAACTTGCGATCCTCCAAGCTTACGCCAAACTGACGAATCACAAGCCACGCCGGCAGCAGCGAGATGCCCCAAAGGCCAAAATTGAGATAGGTGCCTCCCACAGAAGCCATGATACCAACACTGCTCAAACCATACTACACTCATCAGCACCCACCATCAACACAACAGATCGAGAAACTTACCGAAACAGCCTGCACAGCCGACTCCATCCCCCGCAACAACCCACTAATCCGCACGACCTCTTCCTCATCAGCCGCCAAATTGCCAACCACAAAGTACCTATAACCCCAGTTAGCACACCCATCCCAACCACCCCCAGTTAGCAGGAGCACTCACAGGAACATATAATTCAACTGAAACCCAGCAACCCACATCAAATAGAGCACAAAGCCCTTCGCAAACCCCTCATCCACCCAGTCAATCCCGCTCCTCCCCTCATTCGTATACTGCGTCGTCACAACCGTCGCCCAAATCCACCACCCTCCCTGCAACCCCAACACCACAAAAAACGCCCCCCGACTCCTCGTCTTCAACCCAAACCGCTTCGTACTATCCAAAAACGCCCCCAACAGATTGCCAGACACCAGCGCCAACACACCCGACAAGAAACTGCCCAGCGCCCGCACCCGCACACTGAACCACAGATCCAAGTACGTGAACATCACCGCCTCCGTGTACGTCGCCTGCGCGATCAGCGGCACTATACACAGGAACTCCTTCCGGAAGAACAACCGCGTCATGGCCTTTATTTCGTACCATGCGCTATGCGCAATCCGCAACTTCACCTTCATCCCATCCCGTCTCATCACCTTCCCCGGCTCAGTGAGCAACAAGCCCGCCGCAGGCCCGAGTGCCTGCAAGGCAATAAACACCCCGAAGACAGCATAACTCACACTTCCCGCTGTATTCCGGTGAACATTCAAACCCAGGTTAATCGCCCCGCCGAGGATCTGCCCTCCGACACGAAAACTCAACCATAGACCCAGGAACCGACCCTGATTCTCCGGCTCCGGATACGATAGGGCAATGGCACTCTCCGCCATCCAGAATATCCCCGCTGAGAGACCGCACAGTGCTGCGCCGAAGAGAACCAGCCAGTCCGTCCCGAATCGGTTATGGGTATATAATCCTGCGGCGTATGGTGCGTATCCGACTGTCCCCAGGATGAGTGTCCATTTTATTCCGACGATGCGCACGACAACGCTTCCGAAGAAACAGGAGAATACCATCAGGCCGAAGGTGAGTGCGTTGGCCGCGTCGACGAGGTAGGGACTTTCGGACCCCCCGCCGCCGAGACTGTTCATTGCGGTCCAGATTCCTGGGGCGAGGAAGTTGCAGAGCCCGAGGACGAGGGCGTTGTAGGTTGTTGAGCGGTACCATTTTACTGTTTTACCATGGTTAGCGGACAAGATTTGGGGAATGGGAGGAGGGTGGAATGGGGGGGTACCTTTGTGGTCCCGACTGGGCTCGATTGGAATAGAGGAGGGTGTATCTTGTACCTCTTCATCCGTTGATGAGGGTTGCTTTTCGAGAGACATTTTGCCTCAATGTCTTGTCGATGCTATATAACCCAGTAGGAAAGTGACATCGAGCAAAGTTGGTGTGGACGCAAGGGTAGCTACTAGCTACTTATACACTCGGCCGCGATAGCATCATGTTCTCGCCGATCTCGGTAAGTTTTTTTATCATGCAGCCTGTCATGCAAGGATGACAGCAAGGAAGCCAATCTGGCCATTGACATTGGCTGTTGTGGTATCGGTCGAGACTGTGGATGTTGCGGTTTGAGGGGGTAATTACGTGCTCGCACGGCATTTTAGTGCGCGCGTGGGGGATGACATGGGATTGGGGATTGATTAGATAGATATTTTTTCCAGGATTTATAGTAGGTTAGTTGATCGCGCAATAAATGCCACGGCTTGCATATATTACTTGACTGCACTAGTACTTTAGTGTGCTAGATTGATGCTTGGTAGTAAGTAGTGTGTGTGTCCTGCCATTCTCCCGTTCTTCATCCATCATCTGATCCTTATCGATAACAACATCAACACTCGGCAGCCCTAAATATATTATCCCATCATGACATCCCACCACTGTCTATATAGTAACGGTATTACTCCAAATCATCCTCATGAAACACCAACGCTCTAACCTCAATACTCTCCCTCTCCTCCTCATTCTCTGCCCCCGGCAGCTCAAATGCACTGTGCGGCACGCGTCTCGCCCGTCCATCCGTCTTCGAATCAAAACACTTGATCAGCGTAACCAGCTCCGGACCCTGTCTATACCGATAATACCACTTGAACTCCGGGTTGGGCTTCACCGCACACGTCTCGCCCTCGCGGTTGGGGTAGATCAATTTTGTCGGCACGAGATCGCTATCCGGGACGGAGTGCGCATCCGCTACAGCCAAGGGATCACGTTTCACAGTCTTGATAGGCCGCCACACATTAATAATCTGGTACCGGCCGCGAAGGAGCCGGGGAGCGTCCTCGGGCAGATGCCATTCCACGCGGGCCTTGGAAGCAGGGTAGGATTGGTCGATGTGGACGCGGTTAACCGGGCCGCGGAGCTGGGAGGCGGGAGTACCCTCTGGTTGGGGTCGGCGGATAGTGTGGTCGAAGATGAAGACACGGGAGCAGTTTGTCCTACTGAAAGTTAGGAGGTGTTGTTTGGGAGGAGGAGAGGAGGGGAAGGGAACGTACGCGTCTTTTAGGAGTTGCTCCGTCTCAGGGTAGTATTCTCGCTTGATCTTCTCGTCGTCGAGAAAGTCCTTCTCGGCGCTGGTGTGGTAGTAGAACTGGAAGCCGTTGCCGTCCAGCGTGTAGTCGAGCTCGTGGCCGCTCACGTCGTGGATCGTCACTGGGATGGATGTGGTGGGTCGCTCGTAGCTGCTTGGAACGCCTACGTAGGTTGGGGCGAGGTGGGAGCCGTCGGGGAGCTCTTTGAGGAAGTTGAGGGTGGTGTGGGCGTGGTGAGGGCCAGAGGAGGGGGTTGAAGTGGGTTTGGAAGGGACGGTGGAGGGATCTCCGGTGGGGACTTGGACTGCTGCAGAGGCCATTGTAAGGCTTCTTTTGATGTGATTGAGTACTAAATTCAAGCTTCAAGTTGATGGATGGTTAGGTTTATCGTTGATGGGTGTGGTGCCGATCCGGGGTCAGACCGTTTTATATAACCATCTTACCTCTATGGCATTTGTCAGAAGCACGCCATCCGACCAGGATGCTGCGTCTCGCGCTGATAAATCCAATCATCAATTCATGTACTTCTGGCATGACACGCAGGGCTGCATGTGATGATACCAAATTATTAATATGATGGAAAATTGTGGTTTGGCTTGATTTCTAATCATGATCTACGATCCGATCAAGTATACGAACGCGCAAGCTTGGTAATCTTGGTCCCGTCATCCAACACCTCATCTTCCTCCTCCAGCTTATATCCTCCCCAACGCGGTAGTAGCACTGTCCATATATACCAGTAGAGTATGCCAAAGATGATCCTACTTTAGTTAGCCATGCCCATCGATGGTAGGGATATACGTACACTCCCATTCCCACGATCGCATATGTCGCGTAGAAGAAATTTACATCGCTTTTGCCATCTGCTGGAGGGAAGAATGGCGCAGAGAGCAAAGCGACACAAACTACGACTCGCAGCCATACTGCAGGTAGCCATGCTTTAAAGGGCCGTGGGAGAGACGGTTCGCGGTATCGCAGCAGCAGAAGACCCACTGTAACTGCAAGACTGAATACCTGTCCTGGGTAGCCCTCAACGTCGAGGATAAAATTATACACGTCGCCTTGAGGTGGAAGCGCGATAACTAGCAGGGAGGGTATATAATGCACGATCAGCCCCCCAAGGGGAGCACCAAACGGCTTGGAGGACGACAGAACGCGGGACCAGGGAAGGAACCCCTGCCGAGCGATCTCTTGGTTTACGCGGGCCTATTCAATTAGACATATTCACTGAAAAATCGGAGTAACGTACCAGGGCGTAAGTCACCACCATAACATTGCCAGCAGCGGAGATGGCGATGGCCAGCGGAAACAGCGTGCGTCCAATGTGGCTGCCAAACAGCCGCTCGAAGAGCAGACCAGCAACTAGTTCTCCGCTGCTCTTGATATCCTCCAGCGGAACCACGAGGAAATACGAAATATTGGCCAGGAAATACAGAGCACCAGCTGTGAGGAGCGCTGCCGGGCATACCGTTTTGATTGTCCGAATCGGATTGTTTACCTCTCCCAGGACATTGTTCACGTTGTTCAATCCCGCGTACGAGTAGAACACCTTGAATAAGGACGTCGACAACAGGTTCCAGCTCCAGTTCGAATCCTCCCACAATGTATCCCACGAGAAAACGCTGGTTGGTTCAGGGGCAAGAGCGTCGGTGCCACCCTGTGGGCGAAGCAAAATGACCCAGATACCCGTCAGGGAAATGGCACCGATGAGGAATATTTTTACCCAGCCGAATGCGTTCTGAATCCAGATGCCAGTTCGAAGGAAGCAACCGTGAATGATTGTTACCGCCGTCATCAATCCCACTGCCAGTGCTTTGTGTTGGAGCTCAGTGGGCACCACATTGAAAGCGAAGAACGTATACTTGGAGAAGACGATGCAGTTGCTGGCCGTGAAACCCAGAACAACTGCTTGCACTGCGATCAGGGTCGACGCAAGGAACCGAGGACGCGGATAGGTATACTCCAGGTATACCTAGATAGACTTAGTTTGGCCTATGTCTGGGGCAGTGGAACTACCTTCTCTCCCCCTGATCGTGGCAGCATACAACCATATTCCATCGAAACGGCCAGCGCGCAGGCTGCCAGGACGGTGCCAACAGCCCATATCAACAGTGATAAGCCGACACTGCCGGCAGACTTGACGATGGTTCCGGGTGTCGCGAAGATGCCGCTCCCAATGACTCGCGAGACTACCAGGATATATGCGCTTATCCAGGTAAGGTGTTTTCGCTGTCCCGTGGTTGGCAGGGTATCCCTAGGCACGTCATCCGAAGAGGAGTCCCCAGGTGCGCTCAATAGAGGTTGTCGTTCACTGTACGCCATCGTGGAAATTGCGCAGTATGAGAGTAAATTTGACCAGCTAACAGTCAAGCGACTTTGCCCTCATAAAGGCAATCCGTCGCCGAGAGGAGACGCTGACATTGCTTGGAAATCATGACCGATTTACTGGCAGGCACGTCATTCCGACCGCAGCTTGTGTGTTGATAAAGGTGCCTGCTGATAGCCAGCAAGGGTGACATGGCGTGTAGCGTCTCACAGGATCAATCAGATGCTGGATATGTCAATGGCTCTTTGATTACTACCCTGTGCATTTACAGGTGATTAGGATGCAATTTATGAACAGTCACCAGGAACTTGGAGCTATCAAATATTCTCGTCCTGACCTCCACTTCGACCTTGCCTACTGTATACGACCCAGCGACCGATTTTTTTGCTCCAAAATTGTCCCGGTCGCTGTTCCTTGTCTCTTGTATCACATCATTTCTGATAAAGCTGATGCCAGCGCAGGCTGTGATTCGCCGATCTTCAGTCAGGGGCATGTACGCTGAGGCAGGCAGTACTTCCGCGATCCCCTGTGCAAGCCCCGTACACTTACCACGACACAAATCCGAAAGACCCACGGACCAAGTCTCATTTTTTGGCATCAGTGTGTTGTTCTTAAACTTGCATGTTCTTTGCCAAAAGTTTTGGTCCTTCGAGCAGTCCTGCGATGATGCCATCCGGTACATAACTTTATCACGCCATCCCGACCCCGCCCTTCGCAATGCCGCAAACTGCCCTGAACCGCCAAGTGATCGCGAATCCAGCCGGCATATGGCGCGCAATGCACGATTGCCACGGCCCTTATCTTGATCAAGGATCTGCTGGCCCGTGTCCGAGAGACCCCTCTTACTGGGTGGTTATTTCTCGGCCGGGTAGGTATGCATATCTATAACTGCCCAAAAGTGACCCTTTCACATTCAGTCGTCTTTGAAAGGAACCTGAAGAATATCAACTGAAAAGCCATAATGACGACGATATCAACTTATACCCTGCCGGCACCTGTCGAGGAAAAGTACACCGCGGTCTACCACCGGGAGTTTGTACTTGAGCAGCGAACAGACCCTACTTATACCTCTACCCCATCGGCACCCACGGATTCGATCATACCACCGAAGACTCAGCGTGCACTGCTTCTCCATGCTGCGGGTGAACAATATACCCTGGTAACTGATCATGCCATCCCGGAGATCTCCCACAAGGATGAGATTTTAGTTAAGGTACTGGCCTATCTTATTGTGGCTTACTCTCGTAACTAAATTCTAACCTCTACAGATCCAAGCAGTCGGGTTAAACCCTGTCGATTGGAAGGGCCCGTAAGTGTTCCGTCGAGACAGCCAGATCCCAGCTAACACCACCAGAGCCTTCAACTTCGGCCTTCCGAGTCTACCATGGATCAACGGTCGTGATCTCGCAGGAGAAGTGGTTCGGGTCAATAATGAGAACAGTCGGGTTCGTGTCGGCGATAAGGTGCTTGTTCCCTCAACAGATTATCGTGATATTCGGAAAGCAGCCTTCCAAGAATACGCCGTTGCCACCCACTTCAACGCCGCACGTATACCATCTAACTCCTGCGTGCATGCCTCTGCATCGCTCGGTGTCGCCTTTGTTGCCTCGGTTCTAGCACTTGGTGTATCACTCGGCCTTGATTTCAGACAGTGTCTACAATGCCCGGGGCCCAACCTGCAGGATACGGTCACTCAGCTTGATATCAATGACATACCGGCGGATATTCGTGGGGAGTGCTTTTCGTCCAGTGCAGTACCAGAGCGCCTCAGTAAGCATTTGGGGTGGTGGGTTGCACTGCATTTAACATATCGATTGTAGCTGACTGTCACAGCATCCACCACAACCGGATATATCACGCTCCAGCTCGCCAAGCTTGCAGGCCTCCGCGTCATCTGTGTAGCAGACATCGCCCGTCACGGCTCGCGACTTCATCAACTCGGTGCAGATGTTCTTGTTGATCGACAAGATACGGAACGGGCTGTAGATATCATACGCGGAGTCACCGGGGGTAAACTCCGATATGCTGTTGACATTGTCGGGGCGGAGACGGCCACTCTACTACAGCGCACACTCGACGATACTATCCGCGAGGATGGATCCCATTCCCATTTGCTTGGGTTGACAGGCCTACCGAAGGAAAGAAATGAGGCCTTGGTATATCACACTGTTCCGATCAAGCTGTTCCATACATCGCCGACCGTGGGAGAGCAGATGGTCTCCTGGTTGGAGGGTTTGCTCGAGACAGAAGCACTGCAACTGCCGGAGGTTGTTCGACATGAGGGTGGGTTAGGGAGTATCAATGAGTCGTTGGAGGTGTTGCGAAAGGGAAGTGTGTCGGGGAAGAGGATTGTTGTTGATATGGAGTAGATGGGTTGTTGCTTCTAAACATTCTTCTTTTAATTGTACATAAAATGGAGATGATGATGCTACATATTCAATAAAAAGCCTTAGACAGGAAAAAGTACCTGGGCTATCTCCTATGCCGACTTGAAGCGGCCTCTTCCATGCTGCGAACGATCCTACTCTACCCGAACCATTCTACACCCGCATAATGGACTACTAAATCAACACCAAGACCGACAACATCATCGAACTCTCTGTAAGCGAGATAATTCTACAGAATTCTCTTATCTAAGACTAACAGCTAGATCAAGAGTTACACGAGGTCCCTCTACCCCTCCTTCCCCTCACTTCCGACACTATTGTTGGCACCATCATTACTACATCTGTCGCAATCACGCGGCAATCGCACGTCTTTCACCTCACCTTGCATACAACCCGCAAATCACAGCCATCCTCATAGCTTCTCGTCCGAGTACTAATGAGGGGCATTCTTATCACAGGCTATACTCGCACGGGAGAAATTAGTGCATGTTGCACAATGAGAATACCAGATACCCACTGTGTGGCATTTAAAAAATCAACGCCCCGGCATTTCTAACACTGAGAATAAATACTATATTTCTCGACTCCCTCATCACCCCCTCACTCAAAATACACTGTCACTTTCAATTCATTAACAATCGCAACCATGGGCTCCGCCGAGAAAAAACAACTCATCCTCAATGCATTCGCAATGCAATCCCCCTCCCACCTGAACCCAGGTCTGCATCGCTACCCCAAAGACCAAGGTCACAACTACACGTCCCTCCAAAACTGGATCCGCGTCGCACAGAAGCTCGAGGCAGCCAAGTTCCACGCCATATTTTTCGCCGACGTCCTCGGCGGCTATGATGTCTACAAGGGCCCCGCGAACCTCGACCCGACTATCCCTGCTGGCGCGCAATTCCCTATCAATGATCCCCTGTACAGTATTCCCGCTATGGCTGCAGCCACTGAAACAATTGCTTTTGGAGTGACCGCGTCGACGACATACGACGCGCCGTACGCAATGGCGAGACGCTTCTCCACTGTCGACCACTTATCCAATGGTCGGGTGGGATGGAATATCGTCACGTCATACTTGGAGTCCGCCGCGAGGAACTTCGGATTGAATACTCAGATTGAGCATGATGAGCGCTATCGCATTGCGGATGAGTATCTCGATGTCACATATAAGTTGTGGGAAGGGTCATGGCGCGACGGAGCTGTGTATAAGGGCGCCGATCGCGATGGAGTGAAAGGGTACGCGGATCCCAAGGCTGTGAGGCAGATCCATCACAAGGGGAAGTATTTCAATGTCCCCGGGCCGCATCTGTGTGAGCCGAGTCCGCAGAGGACTCCGTTCTTGTTGCAGGCTGGTACGTCGTCGGCGGGTAAGGCGTTCGCGGCGAAACATGCCGAGGCGATCTTTCTAAATGGGCAGACGCCGGAGTTGGTCAGGCCTAGTGTCGATAGTGTGAGGGAGCAAGCGAAAGCATTGGGACGGGATCCTGCTGGGATTAAGATTGTCGCGGGTGTACTGGTTATTGTCGCGGAGACGGATGAGGCTGCGCATGCCAAGTTCGAGGAGTATGCTAAGTATGGAGATCGCGAGGGCGCGTTGGCGCTGTTCGGAGGCTGGTCTGGGTATGATCTGTCAACGTACAGCGATGATCAGGACTTCCGGTTCGTGGAGCAGCCGGCGGTGCGGAGCATGGTCAATCACTGGGCCAGTACGGTGCCGGGGATGGAAGGAAAGAAGTGGAATAAGAAGACCATTGCGGATTATTTGATTATGGGCGGCAATGGATGCAAGATTATCGGCGGGCCCAAGACAGTCGCGGACGAGTTGGAGAGGTGGGTGGAGGTTGCTGATGTCGATGGCTTCAATCTCAGCTATGCAAGCATTCCAGAGACCTTCGATGATATCATCCAGTATCTCGTGCCGGAGCTGCAGGCACGCGGTATCTTCCACACAGACTATGCTGTGAAGGGCGGGACGATGCGCGAGAATATGACGGAGCAGAAGGGACAGACAAGACTGCCGGAATCGCATCCGGGCGCAAAGTATTTCTGGCGTGAAGGAGAGGAGGTGCCCAAGTATGCAGAAGGTCAGTAAGACTGAGTGTACAAAAGTGTAACGATAAAGCAGCGGATGAGATGAAGCTATAGTGATAAGCCGAAATATTACAATTCCTGTTGCCGTCAAATCACATAAGGTTACAATAAAATTCTTTAAGATACAGGGATGATTCTAAAGAAGGCACTCCTGCCCAGCAGCAGGAAGAAAGCAAGGCTGTGACCCAACTAGCTTGGCCTACAGTCTGCTTCCCTGTGTCTTGTGTGATAGGCTCAGGTTGCCCGAAGGTTCTAGTGATTAATGTTTTCCCAGTCGACCGCGGGATTGACTGACGAACAAATTTCCTGAAGAATAGAGGCTCCTTAGTACGTCACCCGTGGACGTAAATCACTCAAAGATGAATTAACTTCGATGTTATAGACGAGATATCGCCCATGCCAAAGCACGATTGGTGCTTTTTGTGGGGTGTCATAGCAGTGAAACTCAATGGCCACTACAAAGCTAGTACAATCTTGGGGTAGCGCTCGGATAACTCGGGTCAGCTTGGCTCGGCCTTCCACCGATCTCATTCCAGAACAAGAATTCGCGCATACATCTCATGTACGGAGCTATGCAAGATTAGAGTGACGATATAGTTGAGGAATGACAGGGAACAGGGGATTTCAGACACATGAATCAGGTTCTCGTTGAGCGCTTCAAGCACATCATGTATAAAATGCACACTAATATTCCGCATAGACATGGTCTCCGGAGCCCTAGGACGCTGCCTGTTTGGTGGAGGTTCTTGGATCGACAGGGACAAGGTATACCAAACTTTATTCAGCTCTTCTGTTCACTTTTGACAATCAAGATATCTTCAATCAGTGAGGGATATATTTCCTACTATTGTGCCAATCATAATGCACACTGGTGTTGGTCGTGGCCATCCTTTAGGCGACCCGTGATGAATCATGAAAATGCCTCATATGTCATCCGGCTTCCACTGGGATTTCGAAACAGGAATGCTTATTACCACACGCCTCCGGTTACATACCGAGCGATAACTAGCTGGTATCTGATAGTACTTCACCCTTGAAGATCTTGCTTTTTCCATAATGCCCAAAATATATATTCCTATAGTACCATGTGGCTTCCAAGTACATGATCGATCGCTTATGTTACAATACGTTACAGAAAAGCAATGTTTTGATGAGATATATTAACGCTATCGTCTATAGTAGATTCCTCTTCGCCGTTGGTGAAGGTCAAAGAGCCTCTCATCGGGCAACATGGACATCACACGCCCAATCATCCACCATGGGACTCCTCGAGCTCCACAACGGGGCAAACCAAGCATTCGATATCGAAGGTAAAGTTATTCGATCGTCAGCAGGTGTCTATGACATGACAACTATAAATACAGCCTGTTTGGCCGCTGAGTACGTTGATGAATAAACCTCATGCTTATGAGTTCTTATCTACCTTGATCGTCAACACTGCTAAAATGATTCGGCTTTTGCTACACACCGTTATTCTCCTTTTTGTCGGCCTCAGTCGGGCGGCAATCGTCCCTCTTCCTCCAAGCACCGGACCATGCGACGTCACTCTCAAGGCGAGTGAACTAGTCGATCAAGCTCGAACCAATCCATTCGATCCAAAAGGGGGTAAACGCGCTCTAATGGTCACGACCTTTACACCCGTCAATTGCGGAAGTGTGCTCTCTGAATTTTACATACCGAATGCGACAGCAGCATACGAAGATGAGACTTTCCAGTCTTTTGGACTACCTGCAGGGACTTTCGAATCCTTTCGTATCCAGACACAGCAGCAGCCATCGCGCTCAAGTGTTAACGGAAGCTATCCAATTGTGCTCTTCTCACCAGCTCTGGGAATATCAAGATTGGTGTACACCTCGCTGCTTCAAGACATTGCCAGTTACGGATTTGCTGTCATTTCCGTTGATCATCCATATGATGCCAACATTGTGGAATTTCCCGATGGTCGTACGGTTATCGGTGTTCTCGAAAACACCACTACAGATGCGCAGTTCACTTGGGCTATGAACATTCGCGTCCAAGACATGATATTTGTTTACAATCAGACTCGCAATGAGACAACAGTCGGAGACATATTCCCCTTGTCACTGAAAAATCCACATCTACTATCTCTCGATCGAGTCGCAATTACTGGCCATTCCCTTGGTGGAGCAACAGCAGCGCAGACAATGTTGGTTGACAACCGATTTGTCGGCGGTGTCAATTTAGATGGTTCATTCTGGGGATCCGTCCTCACTAAAGGACTGTCTAGCCCGTTTCTGCTTTTCAGTAATGCCAACCACACAGCGGAATCAGATCCTAGCTGGGGAACATTCTGGTCGAATTTACGAGGATGGAGATTGGAGCTACGACTCGCACAGTCTAAGCACTATACCTTTTCCGACTTTCCGGTGCTTGTCGACTCCCTGAGTATCTCTGACGAACTGAAAGGAATTGTTCAGGCCGGTTATATTGGGACGATTGGCGCTTTGCGCGCTAAGAACGTGATTGTCTCGTACCTCGTTGCTGCATTGCAGTACTTTGCTTATGGGCGCACGTCAGATCTACTGAGTGGCCCTTCCGCAGCATATCCTGATGTTACTTTTGTACATTCTGCCTAGGTTCTTGGATATACTGTTACACTTCTGTCCCGGGGCTTGTTGCATGTGCAGTAGCACTGCGTGAAAAGTTCGCAATATATGTAAATGGCCATCAAGGCTGAAGCATATCATGGCTCATAGTAGGCAGTGGTCGAGATAGATAGAATTGCGGAGTGCAACAAACACTGCTTTCTGGAATCTCTTTGTGAATGTTTGAGAGGATCGACTTATCTACGTCAGCCCCCTCAATTCACCAACGCATGTACTAGTCACGTTCAATAATTCACATATTCAGTCTTACAGCGTAGAACCTGTGAGTGCAAGACATGGTCTAACTTTATCCAACATATGACAATATCAGTAGAAGGGTTAGCCACCCTTATACTTCTCAAAGGCAGTCACTCCAACAGCTATGAGCTAGCCACTGCAAATGTTTCCACAGAGAGTGTGTTTAAGCGCCGGCTGAGATAGAAGGATCCAAAATTAACTTGAAAGGATGAATTGTCGGCAGATCCCGGCGGCTCGAAGGTTTCTCGAGTTCACAGGTCTGTAATTAACCGCCCGTGAATGCACCGCACCTTTGATTCTCTCCCTTCTTGATTCAACCGTCTGTCATATCTCTACGGGCTACTCACTATCATTTTTTGCAGACTTACACTTCACACACGCACAATCACCATTAACAAATATGGGTGGCTTGGGTCCATATCTCGAATACGATGGTGAGGACTACATATGTTCTATTTGCGACAGGTATTTCAGGACTGATGGTGCACTTTTCGCCCACTGCAGAGCGACTACACGACATGAATGGTGTGAGAGATGTCGTCGGGTATTTATATCAGAGGCCTCGAAAAATGCACATATTCAAGCATCCAACAAACATCATATTTGTCATTCCTGTCGTGAAGCAACAGACTTTGAGTCCAATCAAGATCTTCGAGACCATCTAGTGGGTTATCATCATGCTTGTCTCGAATGCAATATTTTCCTCGAGTCTGCTGAAGGTCTCCGAAGCCATGATATCTCTGACCACTGTCTTTGCGATGTGTGCGACAAGTATTTCAGCAATGAAAACAATCTGAGAATGGTAAGCTGACCAACATGATGGTTGTTGCTTGAAGGTTTCTCATACTTTTCTTATTTCCAGCATCGGCAGAAGCACCAAGCCAAGACGTTAGAATGCTATGGCTGCTATCACAACTTCAAGTCATTTTCCGGGATGTTGATTCATCTGGAATCCGGGGCGTGTTCATCGGGGGTTACTGAAGACACGGTTGATGATTTAGCGAAAGAATGCTATCAGAGCAGGAGATATACTGTTGAGACAGATGGAGGTTGGCGATATGAGTGTCCAGAATGTGAGAAGGAATTCACGAAGCTATCTGCGCTGTACCAGCATGTTGAGGATGTCCCTTCCTGCTCCCATCTTGCGAATGGAGATGGTTGTCTGGCTAAGCTTGAACGTTTCATGGCTTCCAGGTTATGATAGCTGACATGTTAACTTTCTTGTATGCGGAGGTCCGCTTTTCATTTCAGCTGGAGACAAATTATGCTCATTTGCGTGAATTGATCCTTCAGGTGAACACGGTACCATATCATCGGTGAATTTCAAGTGCATAGAAGTCACAAGGGCCCCGTGTTAACGACTGTTCCTCCTGGTGCACGTATAACTGGAGTGAATAACCAAGGTATCCCTAAGAACTATAAAAGGCACCGTGTGAAGTCCATTATTCGAAACTTTCTACAGTATTGACTCCTTGTATACCGAATTTGGGGAGCAAGAGTAACCCGAAAATGATTCAGGCTTACAAGCTTCACTTCGCCCTCGTGGCCATCCTCCTAGCCCAATGCATGGCTGACACAACCAGCGACTCTTCCGGGACCTCTTCACCCACTGGCCCAACCATACCCCCGAGAAGGCGTCTACCACGTCCCCCAGATTCACCAAAAGGGCCCTCCCACAGAAAACACACCGAGGACAGTGATTAGGCCTTTCACAACGTTGTCAACGATCTCAACATCATCGTCGTCATCATCATCACCAGCAGCAACAACAACCTACTTCATCATCCTCCGTCCCAGGAACACCAACCCCCGACGACCCTCTCTTCAACAACCTAGGCGCAAGCATCCTCGACGTCAACGCCACAACTAACCAAACTACCGCCATCTTCAACTGCCAAAGCAGCAAACTCGGCAATTGTCGCATCACAGTCCCAGTATCTGCAACCAATGGCCCCTCAACCGCCGAACTCACCCTCACTAGCGTCGGCTCAGTCACCCCTTTAACAGATCCTACGAAGTCAACCACATCCCTGGTGATCTATGCCATCCACACTTATATCTTTCGATCCGAGATCACAGCCCCTTCCGACGCTTCCTGCACCACTACCGATTATGCTTGGGAGTCCTCTGATACTTTCACGTTTTCTTATACGTCAACCTCTTCGAGTACGTTCAAGGCTCTATCTTATAATTCCATCCCAGTTACAGCTGGGTTAGAGAAGTTGTCCAGATGGGTTGGTGTACCTAGTGTGGTTACAAACGCTGCATCAACGGCAACAGAACGATCGGGGCCATCTCAGCTTTCACATCCTAAGCAGCATTTCAAAAATCCGTTGGCGTCAATTGCGGCCCCGGTGGTGTTTCTCTTTGTGGCTGGTGCTTTAGTTGCTGGTGTTGTCTTTTGGCGGAAGCGGAAAGTGGCTGCAAAGAGATCTGCTGGTCAGCATCATCAGATCGTACGGAAAATACTGCCTCGCATGTTTTCGAAAAGACTGAGCTACCGGCTGCGGATCACGGCATTGTGGAGGCTCCAGGGTATGAGTAGGAGTGGGTCGAGTTATTAGCATTTTGTGATAATGAGATATCGGAGCTGCCTTCGCCTTGGAATGTGGCTGAGTTGTCGGGGTAGGGTTGGTGTTGTGCAGTATTGTGGTGGGTGAGGTTATGAGATATAAAGGGTCGGTTTGGAATCTTGGGGGCCACAGGGTATCTAGTAAGATGGCGTGTGGATTTTGCAGTCATGAGATGTGCGGGCATGGTGGGCAAGTTTAGGTGTGGCGAACAAGAAGGGGTTTAGATACTGTCCTCTTCGATAATATCACTGCCAACATAACTTAGACATTTGTGCATGTATTGATCTTCATGTATCCACTCTACCTAAGCGCCGGTACGTCTTTGCTGGTCTATAAGCATCGACAAAGGTCCAATAGGAGCGTCCTCACGATCTAGCATTATCTCAACCATCCGCAGCTCTTTTCCGTTACTGACAACATCATTCGAGAAAACATCTTGTAGCTCCTTCCAGGTCCTAACCGACGCAGTGTACGTGTCTTCACTCGCTCCAAAGAAGCTGGGGGCCTGTAGATATCTCCATCGCGACACATCGTTGTATCCCTGTTTCCGGCCATGGATGCAGCGCTCGATCGTGTATCCGTCGTTGTTGATGAGGAAGACCACGACGTTCAGCTTTAGTCGGATGATTGTTGACAATTCCTGCGCAGTCATTTGAAAACTGCCATCACCGATGAGAAGGACTGTGCGCGCATCTTTAATACCGTGGTAGTTGTCTGATGCCATCAATTCCTCTTGAGCAAGTGCGGCTCCCTGTGCTCCTGGTAGCATGTACCCGATAGATAGCCAGGTCACGGGTGCGAAAAGGCGGGTGTGCTTGGGAAACGCCATCTCGCGGACACCATATCCTGCCGTGCCTGTTTCTCCCAGTAGGATGTCGCCTGGACGAAGGAAGTTCGCAAACACTCGCCACAGTTTATCTTGGGAAAGTGGTTTATCTCCTTCTACTTCGGAGAATGGAACGAGTTCGTCACGGGGCAAACTAGGGTAGGGGTCATAGCGATGAATTCGGTTGAGGTCGATCGTCTCGATGAGGCGAGACGTGGTAAGCTTGGCGGGAATGTCACGAACGATCTCCGTTCCAAACTTAACTTCGGCATCGGTGAACAAAATAGCAACTTCGGGCTTAGGAATAATCTGATAGAAGTAGGAATTGGTGGAGCTGAAGTGTGGCCCGAAACACAACACCAAGTCTGCCCCATTGTAGAATTCTTGCACTTCAGTGGGGTCATAGTTGCCGCGGTAGATGCCATGGAAGTTTGGCCGTGTATCATCCACCAGGCCTTTTCCGAAATTGGTCGTCCAGGTCGGGAAGTTCGTGGCATTGATGATCTTCTGGACCTCCTCCAAGATTCCTATGGGTCTGATTTCGCCATCGACGAGAATGATCGGCTGCTTTGCTGCATATATACGTTCCAGAATTCGCACCACGACGTCATCTGGGGTCTGGGAGGGAACAGGCTCGGGTGTGCTGACGGCGAGCGCGAGTCTTTCATCTGACACATACTGGTGCACCATATCCATTGGCACCTCGATATAGACGGGTCGGCTGTGAAGGAGACATTGTCGCAGTACCTCGTCGATCTGCGCAGGGGCGGTTCGTGGATCTCGCAGGCTGGCCTGAGCGATAGTCAAGTGTTCGTAGATCTTAGCAAACCGCCCATATTCGCCATCATTGAAGGTATGGTGGACCAATTTCCGTCCCTCCTGCAAATCCCGGGCTGGTGTTCCCACAATGTGCACGACGGGCGCACGTTCAGTGTAGGCTCCAGCGATCGCGTTCACAGCAGACAGCTCCCCAACACCGAAGGTGGTGACAACCGCGCCAATGCCTTTGATTCGGGCGTACCCGTCGGCGGCGTAGGCGGCGTTTAGCTCGTTCGCGTTACCGACCCATCGCAAACCGGCGGGCTCCACATAGTCGAGCAAAGTGAGGTTAAAATCGCCCGGCACACCGTGGACGGAAGCTACGCCCAGGTCTTTGAGCCGACGGAAGAGGTACTCAGCAACTTTGATTGAAGGCATGTCGAAATGGTGGCAGATGGAGAAGAGCAAAGGAATCCGTCAGGAACCGCGGTTCTTATCAACTTATCAAGGTTACCCCGCCCCGTGACCCCTTCTCTCCGACTCGCCGACTCTCCGATATCCGGTCCGGTGGGAGCGCCGCTGACCGCCAATAACCGCTCTAGATTCACTCCTCTTTTGGATACTATTTCACTATATTTAGCAGATGGCTATCGAGGTAGTGAATGATAGCAGACATGGGCGGTGCTGAATGTATCCTTTTCCCGATCGTTTAGCAGGTACTTTGCTTGTTATTTATATATATACCCCAACTGTTCCCGTGAGTGTGGCCCCGACCAACACTTGCCACTTTTCGTGTACTACTAGTATTAACCCAGATTTGTCACGGAGCCATCGATTCAATGAGGAAACAGCAAGGTAATAATGTGGAAAAACTAAGACAACAGTTAGGTAATGAGAATTTATGCCCAGGAAGATGAAGTCATGTTGGCCCAAAATAGAAGTTCTACGCGGAGATCCTTATCAATGTCTCTGATCAGATAAGAAACGGCACCCACAATAAAATCACGTGGCAATACTAGCTGCTCATTATCACGTGGCATGTGGTCCCCTCATGAGGGGAATACGAACACGCTATTGTGAATGAGTCAATCAATTGTGTCACAGTAGTATCTCCTGCATCAACCTCTCACATTATAGAGAATCACAACGTCAGGGAATATAAATTGACCAACAGTGGAAACTGCTCACCAAGCCAATTCGTGATGGATTCAGAATTGTCATCCTGGCAGAAAGCGGCCCAGGCCAAACGCCAGGCGATTCTGGACTCGATTCCTCAGAAATGGAGAATTCAGCGTGCCGTGCTGCCCGTTGATGTCACGGGTAAATTCATCCAGGGCTACTTGACCCCTCGTGAGATAGAGATCACTGAAGCTGATGCTGTTGCAATTACAACTCAAACTACATCGGGAAATTGGAGTGCAGTGGAGGTGACCGAAGCCTTCTGCCACAGGGCTGCTATGGCGCATCAGCTTGTATGTCACCCAGATGACAGAAATTGTGACTTTGAGGTGTGACTGTTGACTCAAGTATAGGTCAATTGTCTACATGAGATATTCTTTGAAGATGCCATTCAAGTCGCTAAGGAACTTGATGAGCATTTGGCAGCGACAGGGAAACCCAAAGGCCCGTTGCATGGACTACCGGTAAGTTTGAAGGACCAATTTCACGTCAAAGGTGTCGACACAACTATGGGCTACGTGGGCTGGATTGGAACGTATCAAGGCAATAAAGACGATCCCCGCCATAGAGTGGCGGAGAGTGAACTCGTACGGGAACTACGCAGCCTCGGAGCGGTGTTATTTTGTAAGACAAGTGTTCCTGTCACTCTCATGGCAGGAGAGACAGCAAACCACATCATCGGCTATACATGGAATCCTAAGAATCGCAATCTGTCGAGTGGTGGAAGTTCTGGTGGAGAAGGGGCCCTAATTGCTCTCCGTGGTTCGCCGGCCGGGTTTGGTACTGATATTGGTGGTAGTGTCCGGATTCCAGCATCTTTTAACGGACTTTTTGGGCTTCGCCCATCTGCAGGAAGAATGCCGTATGAAGGCGCGGCGAACTCCATCGACGGACAGAATACCATTTTATCGGTTATTGGCCCGTTGGCGACAAGTATTGGGGGGTTGAAGTTACTTTTTAAGGCTATCCTCTCCGAGGAACCATGGCAGCACGATCCTCTCTCTTTGCCGTTGCCGTGGAGGGATGATATTGAGAATAAGACGAAACAGTTAATTTCGGAGAAAAGTACAGCTTCCAGACTGTCATTTGGTATCATGCGTCATGATGGCCTTGTCGAGCCCCAACCGTCCGTAAAGGTAGCTATAGATTTTATGGAACGCATTCTGAGGGACTTGGGTCATCAGGTAAGCACAAAACATCATCTTCCTTCCTGCATAGAATCTGACAAGCATTTAGGTCCTAGAGTGGGATACTGACTTATGCCGTGAAGGCAGAGAGATTGCCGTACGCCCATGTATGGGATATATATTCTAAATTAGTGCGCTGATTCGTCACAGAGCAAGATCTACAATTTGGATGGTGGCGAAGACCTCCTGAGCCACATAGCCTTGTCGGGAGAGGCACAAATTCCGCAGTGTTCTGTTGAGCCAGGCAAACACTTCAACGCCAGAGAGGTAGCAGCACTCAACGTGCAGAAAAGGGAATATCAGAAGAGATATATGGATTACTGGAATGGCACCGCGAGGTTGACTACGACTGGAAGGCCAGTTGATGCTGTCATCTGTCCAACCGCACCTCATGCAGCTGTTATCCCGGGGAAGTATCGTCATACTGGGTACACTACATTCATCAACACTCTGGATTATACGAGCTTGGTATTTCCTGTTGGGAATGCTGACAAGAACATTCCGTCCATGATCGAACGGTCAGAATTTCTGAGTGAACTGGATCAGAAAATTTTTGGGGATTGTAAGTTAGCGTCGTTACGCCTATCCAAGACAATTCCTGACATTTTTAGACGATGCGGAAATATACTACGGGGCACCTGTTGGGCTTCAATTAATTGGGAAGCGGTTGGAAGAAGAGAAGATAATAACTATTGCTGAATACCTGTGCGAACAGGTCAGATTTTATACGGGACAAGAAGACCTGGTAAATTCGTCGACAGATGCGTAATCATCAGATGTTTATCTTAACTGGGTGCTATTTAGCCATGATGTACACGATGATATGTAGTAGCGGCAATTTACGTATAGTGATTTTTTTTAGCAGCTTTAATCACAGCTAATCCAAATCGCTCCATATTGCTTCCATTCCGAGAGCCTACGCTCTGAGCTTCTCAAGAATCCATGCCGCCGCGATCGGATCATAGTCGTTTGCATACGCCATGTGAAGGGACAGGGCATCAGCACCCTCCGAAGGAGAGCAAACTCCATCGCCATCATTGCACCAATCCGCAGTAACATGGCGGTAACGATCGTGCAGGTACTTGATCTGATAATCGAGACGAGGATATTTCTGTAGAACAGCGATCATTAGATAATAGAAGCTTCAGAGTACGTCAGCGAGAGGAAACTCACTCCTGTAACGTTCCAAGTGTTGTTGCCCATGTTGTAGGGTTGGTAGGGTGCGTGGCGCGGGTTTCCGTAGTAGACGTTAGCAGCAACTGGTTATAATTGTTAGACTTTGCAAAGGCTCTCACGTAGTATACTGTTAACGGGGAACGCGGGCTGGCAGAACATACTGTGCTTCGAAACGTCCTCCGAAACCAAGGGCTGAGTCGCGTTCCCAAGCGTCGAATCGCCACCCCCGCCTGCAAGGGCGTCTCCCACAATCATAGCACCTTGGGAGTAGGAGATCAGAACAATCCTCGAATTAGGACAGTCCGCTGCGTATCTATTGACTTGACTGCCCACTGCAGCCCGGCCAATGAAATAGCTGTCTGACTCTGTCTCGCTGACGGCGGGGTAGATGATATTCTCGTAATTGGTGCTTAGAGTGGTGTTCTCGGCAACCAATTCCGCCATCGAGTAGGTTGTACCCGGATAATCTTCAGTCGTGCCGCGGGCCAGCATGAAGTGGATATCAGCGCAGTCGGTGCTATTGAGAAGGGTAGCCCTGGAAAATCCAAGGAGTGCATTGAAGGTGAGGGTAGTCACAATGCGGGAGAGCATGATGAAGGTAGGTATTTTGAGAAATAGAAACTTGTTGATTGTGATGGATACACACGAACCGAGAGACATGAAAGTTGGGTCTTTATATAACCAGCTCACCATACGGGTGACAATAAGGCCTGTGTAAGGATGTGACCCCTAATATTAGGGATTGTTTCATAGATTTTTCACTAGCGTCCCGAGATAAGATACCCCGTGTCCCTTGACTGGGCGGATTAAAAGGTCTGCAATCTATTTCAAAAGGCACTAACTAATTCGAACTATATGACGGCGATGCTGAGTATTTCTCCGAGCAGGTTATAGGACTTGTATAATCCGATATATTGCTTTACGCAGAAGAGGTGACCCATAGCAGCGGAAGAAGTCCGACTCTACAGACTTGTCCAGCTGCTATTATCCACTCCGTTCGCATCTCTATGCTTCGAGTGTCTGTACTTAATAGTAGCTTATAGTAGCTTATAACCTGGGTCTACTAGCAAGGTTAGCCATTTCGAAGAGAGGGAAGCGACGGTGCACATGTTCTTTGGGTGAGACTCACTTGACATACGTCAACGGCCTTCCACCTAGTATCCAGAAGGAACTAACGCTAGGGGTGCTCGGCCGAAGATTAGGCAGCCATCTTACTCTACAGGTATGGCTCGAGGGATCACTTTGACTGGACCGGTCCACGCATGCAACTTGGAGGACTCCACTCCACACTGTAGTGGCACGGGAAGTAGCAAGGGACTGGAAAATGAACGCTTGTATGCTTCTACCTTGGTTGCAGATGCATGGTATGTCCTCCAAGGTGTAAATGCTGCATATGGTTGGTGTCGTTATGTTGCATTGAATAGCTAGCACAATAGAGTAAGTGGCACCAGCCACTGCTTCGAGTGAATTGGGTTCTCCACTTTCAGAACACGCAATGTTAAATAACACTATCTTCCCATATGGCATCGCCTCACTTCCATTGGTGGAAAGCCAAGATAATATAAGGTTAGGTCAGGTTGTGGAGTATCATCTTATCACACTCGCCAAAACCTCGGCCATAAAACCAAATACGTGCGTGGCTATGCTGTTGAAGGTGTAACGAATGATGGCCTGGCCATGTTTACATGGTACCCGGATACTATGAGTGACCAACAATTGAGATGATTGCCACCTACTTACTATCCAAAGCCAGACGCCAATTTCACAACAGTTTACGTTGGTCGATGTTCGTCTTTCTTGCTCTCATAATCGAAAAATTATGATCAATGGTGGGTGGTGTGGACCTGGGCCCTTTCCCGGACGAAGCTTAAACGAAAGTGGAGAACCAGCGAAGTCCGACATCCAGGGATGGAGATTAGCGCCGAACCATGACACATAGTCGCAGGCCCTGAACCCACGGTACCCTTTTTCTATGCGATGCCCGGGATCCGTTTTCCCACTCATTAGCGACTCCAAAAAATCAATGACAATGTGATCAGCGTTGGCTGACGCGTTCTCTAATCAATCCTTCACGCCCCAAGGTCCAGAAACCTTGCTGAAGAGCTCCGGCCTCCAACCTACCTATGGGTTTGAGCATCATGTTTACCCAGAACTATGTCTTCAGGAGCGGTTGACTCTGATGCTCGCGGCAAGGTCTGGACCTCACCTTCAGGAAATTGCAATAATCGGCCCACGTTTCTCCGACATCGTGTTGACATTCCTAATCAGTTATCCCCTGGCGTCTTGCAAATGTAGGACAGGGAAAAGAGATAAATTGTCTGCAAACCCTCTGTTCTTCAATTAACACTCTCTTGTTCTGTGCCTCATCATATCGAGAAACTCATCCGCAACCATGTTCAGAAACATTGTTACTGCAGCTCTCCTATCCTCTGCCCTTGCCAGTGCTTCAACCGCGCACACAAATGGCAAAGCCCCCTGCGCAAACGTGCACATGATGCTTGCCCGAGGAACTACCGAAAGCTACCCTGGCCTTCTGGGGTCTTTGACTGAACTGGTCATGGATGCTGTCCCGGACAGCGATTACGAAAATATCATCTATCCCGCCACTCAGGAAGGATCAACCCCCAGCTATGAGGAGGGAATTTACAATGGAACTGCCCAGCTGAAGGCTTATGTGAAGGCTTGTCCGGAATCCAAGGTGGTTCTGTTCGGATATTCTCAGGTATCTCCCTTTCCTCGGATTTGTGTTTCTCACTTACTGACTCTCTGACAGGGAGCTATGGTTGTGAGCGACATGCTGGCTGGTGGCGGTGATAACGGAACTTTGGGAAATATCACCGCTCCTGCTGTTGACCCTGAAACCGGATTGCACAGTAAATGACTGAACCTCATCTGTTTAAACCCAATCATATGCTAATATTCATCAGTTGCTGCTGTCCTTCTCTACGGAGACCCCCGTCACATGCCCAACCAGACATACAACGTCGGAGATGTGACAGCTACTGGCGTAAGTCACATCCAGAACACTTTCAAGGGACTGAAGAAGTCAGTTAGCTGATATTGAATTTTTAAATAGAAATACCCACGCACTCCCGAGCAACTTGCGGCCCTGTCGCATTATGCCGATAGACTCCACGACTACTGCGACGACAAGGATGGCGTTTGCGATGCTGCCGGCACCAACCTCTCCGCTCACCTGGCTTATGCCACTATTTGGGACAAGGTCGCTGCTACTTGGGTTGAGAGCATGATGCAAAAATAAGGTTTCAGCATGACTTCGCGAACGCGGGTTACAGTCAGGGGATTTTGGCGGTGCCTGAGGCGGAAAGGTTTCTTGAAGGGGAGATCTGATCTCGTTTTTGTAATATAGCATAAAATTGTGCTCCATAGTGGCAATATACAATACGTTCTTATATTCTTCATACTTGGATTACAGACGATCGGCGACTTCGTAGGCCTGCGCCAGATGGAGGACATGGTGCTGTGGTAGACATGCTTTTTTCTTTGGTTGAAGGGCTAGGACAGTTCCTCAGGTGCGGTAGACTCAGTGTGCGCTGGTCGGACTACAAATAATCGTGAGCTAAGCTAGTAATTGCTTAGCTTTGCCTCAAGAGTGTTTCTTGAAGTGGGATGGACGCGTAAATAATTAGGGTCCACATATTGGAGGCGAGCCCCAAAATCCGAATACCGAATGCCGCGTCTCCACTTTGTCCCTGTGAACCGCGTTATTAACTCAAGTGTAGATCTCACATTGAGTCGCCTCATAATGGCTCGCCAGAGCTGAGACTGGGTAGGAAATCCCGGACTTTGATTTAAAGCTAATACACTACTACATCTCAGGCCTGAACAGGAATGCCGATTTGCATGCCCCACATTTGTCATATTGGCATCACCAGCAATTGCTGGTTCTACCGCTCGGTGGAAGGTCTATTTCGCTGAAAGTGTCCTTTTTTTTTTTAACCTATGGGATTCTCCAACTTACTTTTTCGACACGGGTATTACAGTGATCCCGGATACCACAAAGCAGAGTTGAACATATTAGATAAGTCGGTCGTCGGCGGCAAGTAGGTCCCTAATAAGGTTTGAAGTGGGTCTTCAGGATAGAATAGTTGGTCTGGGCCAATGGCCGATGAACCTTCAATGTCCGGAAGAACGAGGGGTTCCTCATTCTTTGCAGGAGCAATATCAGCAAGTGATATGAAAGGGGGTGCATAACTGGAACCTACAATAACGTGACTTGGCTGCATAGGAAAACCGGACGAGTCGTTCTTTCCGCCAGTCATTGGCCCAATATTATCTGACTCGAGGCGCGAAGTCCGTCGCGAGCCCATGGTCTGTGACCTGGCTTGTACATCCCGCACAAATTGACGGGCAATGTGAGAAAATTCAGCGGCACTTGATGCCGGAAGAGAATCTTTGTTACTGATCTCCCAGCGGCTGAAATAACCGGCTGCTATGTCCAGGAACGAGATATTGGTGGCCGTCTCCTTGTGGAGCGGGTTGTGGATAACAAAGTCAAAGATAACAAAAAGAGCCGAGATGGGCACGATACCGAGTTGCCTGTTACGATTAGTGTCGGTGGGAACATGGCCTCGGATGGGACCTCTTACCAGACTGGGACATGCGCTTCATGCTCAATATACCGTGTATGGTATATAACGGCTCGGGCGGCCTCCATCAGTTGACGCTTGGTGTCTTGATTCGTCTCACTCGGTTGGTCGACCGTAAGATGGATTCGAAGCCGACACATAGACATAACCAATGCATAATATATAAATCTTATTTGTAGCGCCATATCTTGCGCGCAGGGGTTCTTGCTTTTGGAGAAGCGAATTGGAGTTCCGGGCTGATAGGGTTCCGGAAGGGTGCAATTCCACGCTTCTAGCTCGCGCGATATCGAGTCTATCGCTGCGATACGGGCATCTGTATGCATCTGAACCGCACTCACGGAGAAGAGACATTCGTAAGTGCGAGACATCAGCCGACCTAGGCGTGCTGTCGTTAATAGCCAATCAAGCTGTCCAGGGACTGTATCGGGGGGTTCCGGAACGGGACAGCCTATGTCATAATCGGGTATCATCTAAATTTCTGATTAGCCATGCCACACATCAAGATGTAGTTACCCTTACCGAACCACGCCCTCGGAAAAACGAGGTGACCTTTTCCAGCCAATATATAACCCAGAAGGCTCTGTGGCATGATCTTTCATCCTCCGTTTGTACGTATGCGGCGTTGTATCCCAGTAACTGAACTATTCTCGCGGCCTCGGAAACCAAGGTTTCACCGATAGGTATACAAGAGAAGCTCATTGTGAAAATTCCCTGAAACTTGATTTAGCGGAATGACACTATTATTCACTACTCGCTCTACTCACCATGGCCGTTAATGCCTGGTTTAGGCTGTCAGCTAGAATTCAAATAGGGTGGAATACACGCACTTGGACATGAAGTAAACCTTGGGGCGGAGCAAGTATCCTTGGAAAGAGGCTCAATGCGCACTGAAAATATTTCCATGCTTTACCTTTCCCTGGAATGAAAGAGCCACCATCCATATACTGGCATCCTAGTGCCAGCAGAGTATGATATAGTGCACAGAATGGCGCATTGTTTTCCAGTATTTCCGATAATCCTGGGTCTGAGACTCTCCGTTCAAAGTCGGCTCGGTCCAGGAATGGTGTCAAGGGGTGTAAGTCATCGAAATACACTGGGAGTCTGTGTCAAAATGCGGACCCACACGAATAAAACATGTGTGTCTGACCTGTGATATAATGAGCTGCCTCCTCATGGGAGATTTGAACAGGTGGTTCGGGAGCGCTGAAATCTATGTCAATTCCATGTGCATGCTGATGCATCGCTTCCCCCATGGCATCAAGAAGGTCTCTCAGTCTGCTGTGACCCAGTATATTGGTAAGGGAGTGGATATGGCTATCTGAAAAGAAGGCCATGCCGGTACTAAGGACTGAGCAAGAAGTGAGCGGGTGTGATAACGATGGTAGTAGATAGTTGATTACCTTGGTTTTCACGAGCCTGAACATATTAGCTGGGTTCTGAAACACATAGAGAAGCACCTGACCTTGAATATGGAGCATGCCTCACGATTCCTTCCATCTGCGTTCTTATCGACGAGAATTTGATCAACATAAGATGCCGAGGCATCCGTGGACACGGATGCCGCTGAAGAGAAGACATTGTAATTCGATGAAGGAACAGTTGCTATCCAGGTACGTATCAGCAAGGGCAATCAGGCTCTGACTGGTCATTTCATGTACCTGGAGTTGAGAAATCTTCGGACTTCTTTGGCCTCAATTGTCTCCGGGTTAGGCTATAGTGACACTCGACTTTGCGTTTCTATCCAACACTCAATGTTCATGAGCACCATTCTAATCATACGCTTTTGCATAATCAAGCAGACGACTGAACCAACCTGGCAAGGGGTGCAGATTGTGCTGCTTGGAGGGCCTATCGCACAGGGTCAGTCTGTCGCCCAGACTACTGTCGCTAACTGGAGAGTGGAAAGTGCCAAAGGGGGCAATAGATTTGTAGAAAAAAAAGGGAAAAAAAATAGCGAGTGGGGTGAGACCAAACTCACGTATGCAGCGAGTTTTCCTTGCCTTGCAATTGTCGCAAGACTTAGCAACGCGAGGTTGAAGTCTGTCGGTCATTGTTGCAGTTGTGCCATCGGATTACGGAAGTGGCAGGACGAAGCCCGATGACGGCACCAAAAGCGAGAGACGGCAGCCCGCTCTTTCACGTGACTTCGGCTTTCGAAGGTTGGCCCATTAGGACCTTCGGCTCTCGATTCCGAAATCCGCGAACATCGACTTACCAGGAGAACCATTTGTGGACGCATTGAAGTACGGAGATGGAATACCACTACTTCCTTTGTCTTTCACTGTTTGGAAGAGGGAGGCCGAGAGCGAAGTCTGCCCGTGAGACATTCACATGCCGACCGAGTTGGGCTAGAATATACTATCAGATATTTATAACAGAATCAGAACCTTCTCGAGTTTTAGCCCCCACTCTCAGACCATTTATCGAGATAGGGTCAAGGCAACGATACCTTTCAACAATAGACTAGCCCATTTTATGCTCAGGGGCGTTGGCTGTAGTGGTGGCGGTGGGTGCCAAAGCTTTTTCTCAGCATGCGATTAGAGGCCCCATAAAAAGTGAACTTAAACATGTGAGCAAGGGGACTGCCCAGAGTATATGGGTTAAGTGTCCTTATACTGTGAGCAAAGCACGGCTTAATAGCTACAGATTCCACAGATATGTAGTCCAGGCAGGCGGCGGCTAGCTGGCAGACAGTGCTCGAAGCAATGATTGCATAAAAGCAGGGAGCCTGATCTCATTCTATCACTAATAACGGTTGCTCTTAGCAAGATACCACAGGCACTGCTATCGCTGCTATCACTATCCAGAAAACATGTGGGTAATCTGAGGAATGCATACATTTACAGGGGTGGGCAAACATTAAGTGTCCCCACACTGGAGCTTGACTCGGCTAGGTCTCCATCCCTATCAAGCCACATTATAACAACACCATTAAGAACCACTAAGTCTATAAAGATTCATGTACATCGTAAGCAGGTCACCTGACGCCTAGTCCCAAGCACATCTACTCGGGCCTGTGAACGCGAATTACCAGCTTTCCTAATCCTCCCCGACCGCTGTAAACAGTCCCACAAGCCTTTCTCACAGCTTCAATATCTTGTAGGTCGACGACTGATCCCACTACTGTTTTGAGTCTCCCATCTTCCACATATCGAGTCAGTTCATCCAAGTTCTCACCAGACGATACCAGAAACATGTAGGAATATTCTGTCTTGTAACGGTATGCCCTGGCCTTTCGGACCTGATCAAGCATATTGAGTCCCATCCGAAAGGGGAACGGAATAGTGGGTCGGTGAGGCAGGTCCATAAGAGGTGAATCCTGCAGTTGATTTCCAGAAGGTAGAGTCGAGACTGATACAATACGGCTAGATCCTGGTCGCATCAGACACAGGAGCTCCATGGAAGAGCCTACAGTATCAAAGAGGAAATCAATTGTGCCATGTTCAATCACATCTCTGGGGTCGGATTTCGTGTAGTCGATAACTGAACAAGCGTTAGGGAAAGATACAGAAGGAGCGGGTAGTGATAGAGTCTTACCCTGGTCAATAGTGTTTTCGCCAAGAAGCTCTGCCAATTTCGGAATTTTCGCAGTTGAGACCGTAGTGATGACCTTACCAGCATGGAAAACATGCTTGGCAAGTTGGCATGCGAACAAGCCGGTTCCGCTCACTATGTGTCATTAGCATATTGAGCAGTACATGGATTCCATTGGGAGTCGAACATCCAGCAGGAACGAAGACGGTTTTTCCGGCAAGGTCGCCACGGTACAATCGAAGAGCCTGGAGGGCGGTCATTGCTGCTAGTGGAATTGAGGCTGCTTCTTCAAAAGATAGAGAAGGCGGCTTAAGACCAATATGTTCCTCAGAGCATCTGACGAATTCGCTGCATGACCCTGTGTTTTGCTTCAGTAATTGAGTTAAAGAATATCGGGTACAAGCAGTCTTACCCCGGGATACTTCGGGTAATCTAATATACACAGCGTCTCCGATTCTGAACTTTTTCACGTCCCGACCAGTTTCTTGAACCACACCGGCACAATCGTAGCCGATCTTAAAAGGAAAACTGACCCTATTAGCATCATCTTCGGTAATGGCGAGAAGTCATACATACGGGTCTCTCACTGCAAGTTTCAGAGCGCCATCGGCTCTCTTGACGTCAATGGGATTGATGCTAGCGGCATAAACCTTGACTATTACATCTTTTGAGTCGATGAGACTCGGCGAGGGCAATTTTGAGACCTGATACTCGGAGGGTTTCGAGTATGATGATATATTTAGGGACAGCATTTCCATATTGAGTTTAAAGACGAGGTATGGAGGCGGTAAAAGAAGGCTAGAAGGGAAATCAACGAAATAAAGACCAGTCTAGTGACTGCGTGCTGAGTGTACATATAGAGCGTAACGCAGAAGTGGACGGAGGCGAGATACGGTTATATTTCCCTTTCGAATGGGTCTCTTAAAGACTCACGACAGAGCAAAAACCACCCCGAGTAACACGAAAAGGCTATTACTATGTCTAGTCGTCATCACGAGAATTGGCTATTAGCTCGGATCGACTCGCAAGCCTACCTCGATTTGGTTAAGCCCAGTCGGTACCAAGGACATACCCGCATGCCCGTCGGACCCGCATACTGTGCGATATCCGAGGTATAAGGTTCATAATGCGAAGTCCGCCAGTGGCGAAGCTGATTCATAAATTTCATAACGGAAACTTTAGTTATGTTTACTAGAGGTTCTCGAAAGGCACTTTCCCGTATATGACTTGCTGTCTGATGCTACCTAGTACGCAGGGCATGTTTGCTCCCCGGGGATCGCTTCTGCCCCAGTGATCCTAATGTCGTCGGAAATATTTTCCTGACTCCACACTGCCCTCAATTGCTCAGGCCTGCCGAATGTACGTAATGCATAAGCCTGCCATGTCTACGCGAAATCATCGCATTTAATCAAAAAGGAAAAGCATGTTCTGACATATACTTGGAAATGTATTCATAGTGTGCCTTCTCGGACTGGCTGATACTTGGTCTAGACACCAACGTAAAATGGTAACGGCGATCGACTTGATAGAGTTTGCGAGGTCCAGAAGCTAGATCGGCATATTACACGGACGCTTTTCAGAAGTCAGACATACCAAACCTCTTGAACTTAGGATTTGATAAAGTCAAGCAGGTCTTGATTGACTTCATCAACATTGATGTTGTGAATGGCATGGGATCCGCCTTTGTAGATCTTCAGTTTGCCTTGAGGAAGCAGTTTTGCTGACTTCAGCCCAGCTGCCTCAATAGGAACCACCTGATCATCGTCCCCATGAAGAACCAGTACTGGTATATTGATCTTCTTTAGATCTTCCGTGAAGTCCGTTTCAGAGAAATCTCTGATTGAGTCATATGCGGACTTGAAACTGGTGTTCATCCCCTGCTGCCACCAGCTACGGATTTGTCCTTCACTCTTCTGCGCATGAGGTCGGTTAAATCCGAAAAACGGTCCGCTGGGAACATCCAAAAAGAATTGCGCGCGGTCTTGACGCATGGCCTGTCGGAACGAATCGAAAACCGACTTATCTGTACCTTCGGGGTTGCCACTACCCTTCACCATCAAAGGGGGTACGGCGCCGATCAGAACGGCTTTCTTGAAGCGCCCAGTGCCGTGTTTTCCAAGGTAATGGGTGACCTCTCCTCCTCCATGGGAATGTCCAACCATGACCGCATCTTGTACCTTAAGGTGCGCAAAAAGCTCCTCTAAGTCATCGACAAAGGTGTCCATGTTATTCCCATCCCAGGTCTGAGTTGATCGTCCATGGCCACGGCGATCGTGTGCAATAACGCGGTAACCGTGATTGCCGAGGAACATCATCTGGTTTTCCCAGTTGTCACTGCTCAAGGGCCACCCGTGGGAGAAGGTTATGATGGGTCCTCTGGGGTTGCCCCAGTCCTTGTAGAAGAGCTCGGCTCCGTCTCGAAGCTTCAAGTGTGGCATGGTTGTGAAAATTTTTATCAGTAATTGATGAGGTGTTCCAACGTCTGAAATTAGATGATCCTTACGGATTGAAGGGCTGGGGATGTGTATAAGGGCGCAGGTTTATACTATCAGCTGGCCAGCTATGCTGGCCTGGTATTGGCGAGCTAGAGTTTCATCGCGTACGTTGTCATGACGTTACCAGGAAATTTTGGCTTTCCGATGGCCGATTCACTGTAATGGAAGTTTGTTCGCCCAGAATCAGGCAATCTATCCTTTACCTGCCGAAATGCGGAAGCTTATTTAGTGGGCCTGTTGAGGATCCAGGCTTTCTTGCTGCCAAGACAAATGCCCAGAACGTCAGCCCAGTTACAGCTACTAGCCTTCTTCCTGTTTCCATGCCATGACAATTTATTATCGGAAGTCTAGCATTCCCCTTGCTGTGTGTTGCCGGAACGATGTTGCTCCGCCGTTGTGCTCATGGGAACCACTGAACTTAGATTCACAATTGTATCGGGCCTCGGTAGTGTTCTGCTCGATTTTACCCATGGTACGTCCCCGTCTTCCTCACATGCTAGCACTAGGATCGCAAGTCCACCCACAACCGACCTCTAGGATGGTTAAAGAGGGATGGAGATGGGCCGCGAGACCTATATCAACCCTGCCATCACCTACGTCAACAGACAACCACACATGAAATAATCAGATTCTGGTTTGGTGTTCAACCCACCCATAGCATAATGTCTTCGACCGCAGACCACTTGTCAGCAGCATCCACAAAGGCCATTGCACCGTATGTGAACCTCAGGCTTCCCTTATCTTGAAGCGGTAATGACTCCTACCTGAGCGTAGACGCTCAAAATCACAGACAGTCCAGGTCGAATTCGGAGGTCAAAAGGTCGATGTACCCAAAGGAGGTTACTATGACCGCTACCGTATGAACCCGAACCTGGATGAGGTAGCTCAGGACCCGAACATCGGACACGATATCGCATTTCTCCGGAAAATCCCCAAGAAGCTGGTCGATTCGAGGGTCGGTCAAGTATATGCACCCAATTTCTATTATCGCACTAGCAGCGTCCAGCTCGTCATCCTCGCGCCTCTTGACCAATTAAAGTCTAAGCTCCCCGCGCCGTTGGAGCCTCTTACAGCATTGCCGGGTTACGGCTTAGTTGCCTTGACATTTTATTCGTATCTGGTCTGCGACAATGATCCTTACAACGAGGTCTCTATCGCCATCATCATTCGGCAGCCGGGTAACGCGAGTTATAGTCCCACACAACTGCTCAGCTCGATATGGAACCGAACTTTCTACGGTTATGTCTTGGCTCTTCCCGTCGATACCGAGATTGCTCGGGTGAGGGGAATTTATGGATATCAACTCCCTAAATGGCTTGCCAATATTAACCTGAAGATGGACAATCACGACATCAAGGCCGACATCACCGCAACAGACGGAACACCCGATTTGACACTGGATGTACCCCTTCCCGCGTTGAGGAGCATTCCGTCAGAATCGCAAATTGGGACTAACAATGCAGTCAATAAGATTGACGGGAAATGGTACCAGGTGGCGGTTCAAACAAACCCCCTCTTGGCGACACAATGCCTTTTTCCTACCAACGTCAAGCTTACTCGGAACGAAGGCCCATTGAGCCAACTACTCAGCGAGTTGGGCGTTTCGACCATTGTACGTATGGATGTTATTAAGGACGCCCAGATGGTCTTGAATATGCCCACCCCATTGAAGGTGTTCAACAGGGTCGGATCATTAGCTTAAGAACAATGGACTCTATGGGGAATTTGAGTATTTGAGATGTCAATGTGTCATATTAGGCTAAACTATACAATGGAAAAGGCTCATAAATAATAAGCTTCCACAGTACATCAACCGTGGACTGATCGGTATGTTGAATACCCCACAAAAGAAACGACGGGCGAAGTATCGTTCTGAAGCGTCTGTTGATATCTTAGGGCCAATATGTCCCATGCTACTGCATTCGGGAGTGTGCTATAGTAAAGGTAACGGAGACCAGTTGGAAAGACCTTCCAATTTTACATCGTTCTGTCTCCTGGGGGTGAGTCACTATATGAAGAATTATGATTCAGTTCAATGTCACCTTTACGATATACCTACTGACAGTCCTCGGGGTTTTTTTTTGCAAAGGATTTGCCTACACCCAGATATTATCGAAGTCAGTTAGGGGGTGTATAAGTTCCCACCTCTGGATTTTACTGGACTCTACGTCTGGTATTAGAGAATTCGACACGGAACATGTTCAAGAGATCTACCAAATGTGTAGGCGGTTTACGATGGTTGGTGTACTCCGTCGGTCCTCCGCCGCCACAAACACGCCTCCGCCAATCGTAGCACTTGGGTAAATTAAACGGACAAATTTGGAGCGGGTTGCAAGCTACTCTCATGCAAGCGCACGAGCGGGGTCAACTGTTCGCTTGTCAATCAAAATCTCAGATAATCTTCAGAGGGAATCCGGGGAAGCCAAAAGTTAACCAAGTTCCGTCTTGCAAACTTGTGTCACCAAGGATCCGTATCTGCTCTGATGCTTCAGTGACTGTTATGCAGAGATAATACAAAGTCAGTGTCTAGTTAACTGCATTTCCATGTATGACCATACTAGAGATAATCAAGGATGGGCATCATGGCGTGCGGACTGAAGTTCAGTTCCAGTCCAGTCCGGCCAGACGACCGCACAGGGACGTATGACCTCTCATACCGGCAGCCACATGCACTGCATCCTTGAAGGCCAAACGCATGACAGGCCTCTGGATACATGCCACTGCATCTTGCCTCAGGACAATTTCTGAAGAGAATCCCGAGGTCGACATGTGAAGAGACGACCGCAGAATGAAGAGGGGTTGTATCAATTTGCGGCGTTGTGGCCGAGATTGAGGCATCGTGGGCCAAAACCACGACAAAGGCATCCGTGGCTATTTTGTATTAGCGGTAGAATATCCCCGCGTTGAAAAGGTCGTGAGACACATCTACATACCCATTGCCCGGAGCTATATAAAGACAGTCAGTTGCCTGGCATTGTGACATGAACATGAACAAAATATTTGGCATTTCAACTTAACTAAAGACATCGCTCGTCTGCCTTACCATCATTTTTAATCATGATTTGCAACACTTTGCTCGTCGTTGCATTGAGTCTGGGTCTCGTCCAAGCAAGCCCTATCGCCAAGCGCGATGCTGCGACAGTGCTTTCCGACCTTGAGACTATTGGAAATGACGTTACTACTCTCAAGACGGACGTTACCAACTGGACCGGAGACCTTCTCGCAGCTCTAGGCATTTTGTCCGATTACAACACCGTCAAAAGTGCTTTGGACACGGCTATAACTGATACGGAGGCTGCTTCCGCATTCACCGATACGGAGAGTTCCAGCATCACAACTGAAGTAACTTCTCTAGCCACGATCATTATAGCAACCCTAGATGAGCTTATCTCCAAGGTAAATTCAAGAAAGCCGACGAGCTTCATTGTTCTGTTGTTGCAGGACTGATGCACAGTTCTAGGAGTCTACTGCGGCATCTGCGGGCGTCACTTCCACTTTGCTCTCCTCCCTGGAGACACTCAAGACCGACACGGACGAGCTGGGGGCGGACCTGGAGGCGAAGGCCACCACGACGGATGCGGCAACTATTGCCTCGACTCTTGCCTCCATCGACGCGGCATTTTCGAGTGCAATTGCTGCCTATGAGTAAGTTTCATTGGATACAGTTCTAAGGGATGATAAGGGCATTGATGGCCAGTGCAATGCGTGGACGTACCTTTTTTTTCAGCCATATCCCGGCTGCTCAGGAGAACCATGGTTAGCAGTGCATGTAATAGTGACGGGTTATCTTGAAAATAAATGGACTTTGCCGCGCATCACGTATTGTACACCCTGAAACCGTTCTGCATACACCAATAGAATCAGACCCATTGTGTTGTATGCAAAGGATACTCGAACTGCAATACCGGCTGCACAAGAGACGAGAAGATATTGCATGTCATTGTATTCTGTGAGATGATTAAATGGCGTTTATGTGATAATTATAGACGAATAATGCGAATGAAGCAGCCCTTCAACAAAGATGAAATATTTGATAGCAAATTAGTGGATTCCAAATGCACGGTGAATTCTTTTGCTACAAGATTTACTTGATATTCTACTGTTCATCAAAACCAACGCGCCTAAGCAAACGCTGAGGCAACTCAGAAAGAATCCTGTCTTTCACTTTCGATATTTTAAATGGCTAAAGAAAACATATTCAATTGAAAGGCAGATAAAATAAAATAAATGTATCGGCGATAGCGAGATATGTTCCAAGTTTTCTACTAGGAATCAATATAAACATAAAAATGGAAATTTGTTAAATATGAGAGATTATTATACTAACTTAAGACAGAGTTGATCAGCAATAATTCGCTCGCTATTAGTCGGGTCATTATTACGACTATGTTATTACTTGGTACCCCTTATGGAGTCACATGATATCGGCTTTCGAGGGCTGTGTGGGGCGACTTTCGGCTCTCGATCCCAACTCCGTTGCCAAAGCAAGTTCGGGATCCCCGATAAAAGCAAAGCATCATTTGCGTGCGCAGTGAACTACGGAAGTGGGTCACTCCTATCGCTATCTTTCCATTTCGCTCTTCGGAAAAGGAGATCCCGGGTCCAAGATTGCCGAAAGATGTTTTCTCGCCGAACGATGATTAGTGATGCAATATATTCAGAAGGGTCGTTGGCGCCGTGATATACTTCAATCATCATGCCCATCCATTTATAACTATGTCCAAAGACTCCTGACCGGGCTCGACCGTCTTAGCTTCAGTCTGGTTGGAACAATCACATCTATCAGCATGGTTACGGGACCCCCTGTAGAGGGTGCTGGCAATGAGGAAAAAGAACATTATGATTCCACTACCACATTGTCCGAGCACCAGCAAGAAGAGCTGAGGACAATTGCATCCCGGCAATCAGCAGTATCAACCACCGCAGGCAAACACTCGGAGCAGGGCTTTGGATCGCATATTGACCCCACAAGTCCTCATTTCGACTTGTCTCAGTGGATGCGCTATCAAGTGCAACAATTTGAAGAAGACAGCAGCGCACGGAAAACAGGGGTTGTTTTTAAAGACGTTACTGTACAGGGAAGGGGAGCTGAAATCCAAATCCAACATACGGTCCTATCCTCAGTCTATGCTCCTATCCTTGGAGGTGCATTTCGCCGCGGCTCTAACAAAGCCAAGACAATATTACACGATGTTCATGGACACATCGAGCAGGGTGAGATGCTTCTGGTGCTCGGCCGGCCAGGAGCTGGATGCTCTACCATGTTGAAAACCATTTCAGCGGATACCAACGGACTCGACTTGTCGTCGAATTCAGCCATTTCTTACAACGGTATTCCACAACCCTTGATGCAAAAGAACTATAAGGGCGAGCTTCTTTACAACCAGGAGCTTGAAAAACGTAAGGATATATACTAATCAATCAATTCATGGACAGAAACTAATCGAGAAACCAGACTTTCCCCATCTTACGGTCGGCGAAACACTCAACTTTGCCGCTGCGGCACGAACGCCTCGGCTCTTACCGAATGGAATGTCAAGACAGGAATATATCAAGCATATGAGGGATGTGGTGATGGCAGTCTTCGGTCTGTCACATACCGTGAACACGAAAGTTGGTTCTGATTTTGTCCGAGGCGTCAGTGGGGGTGAGAGGAAGCGAGTATCCATTGCAGAAATGGCCTTGGCCGGCTCGCCACTGTGTTGCTGGGATAATGCTACACGCGGCCTAGACTCTGCGTCTTCTTTGGACTTCGTTAAGGCGCTACGGACCAGCTCGAGGATTTTTGGCACCACCCATGTTTCGACCCTTTATCAGCCCTCGCAAGCAGTATACCATTGTTTTGACAAAGTTATGGTCCTCTACCAAGGGCACGAGATATTCTTTGGCCCTACCACAGAGGCAAAACAGTATTTCGAAGATATGGGCTGGTATTGCCCTGCTAGACAAACAACAGCAGACTTTCTGACTAGTATCACCAACCCAAGTGAGCGGCGACCACGGGAAGGATTTGAAGCGAGGGTCCCACGGACTCCCGAGGAGTTTGAGATGTACTGGAGGAACAGCACCACCTACAAGCGACTAATAGATGACATCTCAAGCCACGAGGCGAAATTCGGTGCTGATTGTGGCGCCACCGAAGCATTCAAGCAGAGTCATGCCAGGCGTCAGGCTCGGTACGCACGTTCGAGCTCCCCGTATTTGATCGATATCCCGACACAGATTGAGATTTGTGCTTCCCGATTTTACCAACGCGTCTGGAATGACATTCCTTCCACTTTGACTTTAATGATTGGACAGGTTGTTTTCTCCATCATCATTGGGTCATTGTTCTATGGAAGCGCATTCGGAACTGAGGACTTCACCTTAAAGATGTCAGCATTGTTTTTCGCCATTTTGCTTAACTCGCTTTTAACCGTCACTGAAATCCAAAACCTCTATGCTCAACGACCAATCGTGGAAAAACAGGCTTCGTATGCCTTTTACCATCCATTCACAGAGGCTTTAGCGGGTGTTTGTGCTGATATTCCCATCAAGGTTGGATGCAGCCTACTGTTCAATATCGTGTTCTACTTCATGTGCGGCTTTCGATACGAGGCTGGTCCATTCTTTGTTTTCTACCTCTTCGTCACGATGGCTCTTCTTTGTATGAGTCAGATCTTTCGCTCTTTGGCAGCGGCGACTAAGGCAATCCCGCAGGCGCTCGCTGCTGCCGGAGTCATCCTACTCGCCACTGTCATCTATACCGGCTATCTGCTTCCCCAGCCGAGCATGCACCCTTGGTTCAAGTGGATCTCGTATATCAATCCGTTAAGGTACGCGTTTGAAGCACTGGCCGTCAACGAATTCCATGGACGCGACTTCCCCTGCTCGGACCTGGTACCATTATACCCCGGACTAAAGAACGGATCGGGTACCTATTTTATCTGTGCGGCGAAAGGTGCTGTTGCTGGTGAGCTCTATGTCAGCGGGGATGACTTTCTCTCCGTGAGCTACGGCTACGAATACAGCCATCTGTGGAGGAATTTTGGCATCCTCTGTGCTTTCGTCATTGCTTTCCTCGCCCTGTATCTGGTACTCACCGAGATCAATTCACAATCTTCTTCAACCGCAGAAAGCCTTGTTTTCCGACATGGTCGCATTCCTGTTGCCTTTGAGAAATCTGCAAATGACCCCAAGGCCGCTAATGTCAGCGCAACTCAAGGACAAGAGACGGGTGATGAAACTGTTATGCCACCGCATCACGACACGTTCATGTGGCGTGAGGTCTGCTATGATATTCAGATCAAAAAGGAGGAGCGCCGCTTGTTGGATAAAGTCAGTGGATGGGTGGAGCCCGGCACTCTGACTGCGTTGATGGGTGTCTCAGGTGCTGGAAAAACAACTCTACTAAACGTCCTCGCCCAACGTACTTCAACAGGAGTCATCACAGGTGATATGCTGGTAAATGGTTCTCCTCTCACTGCCAGCTTCCAGCGCAGCACAGGATACGTTCAGCAACAGGACTTGCATCTTCATACCGCAACTGTTCGTGAGTCTTTACGGTTTTCGGCCTTGTTGCGTCAACCCAAATCAGTCCCCGTCCAGGAGAAATACGACTTTGTGGAAAAGGGTATGTTCTAATTCGTGCAAATCATTCCACTACGTACTAAAGTTGTTTTAGTAATTTCTATGCTCGGAATGGAAGAATTTGCAGAAGCAGTGGTCGGATTTCCGGGCGAAGGGTTGAATGTCGAGCAACGGAAGCTTCTTACTATCGGTGTGGAGCTTGCCGCAAAGCCCGCTTTACTCCTGTTCCTGGATGAGCCAACCTCCGGATTGGATAGCCAGTCGTCGTGGACCATTATCGCGCTTTTACGTCGGCTCGCGTCCAGTGGACAGGCTATCCTTTGTACAATTCACCAGCCATCAGCCATGCTGTTTCAACAGTTCGATCGGTTGCTATTCCTGGCTAAAGGCGGTCGCACCGTTTACTTTGGTGATATTGGACCAAATTCTCGTACAATGCTTGATTACTTCGAACAAAAAGGTGCGAGGAGGTGCGATGACTCGGAGAATCCAGCCGAATACATTCTCGAGATCGCAGGTGCAGGAGTGAACGGCAAAGCCGAACAGGATTGGCCAACTGTGTGGAAGGAAAGTCCCGAATGTACCGAAATGATGAAAATTTTGGAGAAGAGGTGCGCAGCAGTGGGATACACGGACAAGACCGACAAACAAGCTGAAGCTGAAGGAGCAGAGGACGCCTTCGCGATGCCTTTCAGGGTTCAGTTTGCTGCCGTCCTCCGCCGGATTTTTCAACAGTATTGGCGGTCGCCCGAGTATATTTATGGCAAGCTGGCCTTGGGTATCCTATCGGCCCGTAAGCTACTCTGGCCCTTACCGTTTCATTCACATTCGGCTAACTATTGTTTCTTAGTCTTCGTTGGCTTCTCATTTTACCTGCCCGGTACCTCTCAACAAGGCTTACAGTCGTCAATTTTCTCCGTCTTCATGATCACGGCAATATTTACCGCACTGGTCCAGCAAATCATGCCTCAGTTTATTTTCCAGCGAGACCTTTATGAAGTCCGGGAACAACCTTCGAAGACATACCACTGGGCAGCCTTCCTAGGGGCCAATTTAATAGCTGAGATACCCTACCAGATGTTCGTTGCGATTCTTGTCTACGCCAGCTTTGTGTACCCCGTATATGGCATTGCGGACTCTCAGCGCCAGGGGATCATGCTCCTTCTGATCATCCAGTTCTTCATCTATGGGTCTACCTTTGCTCACGCAGTGGTTGCCGTCCTGCCTGATGCCGAGACTGCCGGTCTCATTGCCACCATGCTGTTTAACATGACACTTGTCTTCAATGGTATTCTTGTTCCTCGTGTTGCTCTTCCTGGATTCTGGGACTTTATGTATCGCCTCTCGCCAATGACCTACCTTGTGAACGCTATCATTGCCTCAGGCGTAAGCGGTCGCGCGGTCAACTGTTCCGAGAAGGAATTAAGTGTGTTCAGCGTTGCTCCAGGTTATGATAGCTGCGGGCAATACATGGAGGCCTACCTTGAAGCGGCCGGCACTGCTGCAGGCAAGCTTCTCAACCCGGAGAGCACCGATCAATGCAAGTATTGTACCCTTCAGACGGCAGATCAGTTTCTGGCGAGTCGGGATATATACTACGACCAGCGTTGGCGGAACTTTGGCCTGCTTTGGGCCTACATTGCCTTCAATGCTGCCTTTGCCTTTGCTATCTACTATCTCAGTCGGGTGAGGTCATGGAAGAGAAAGGCCTGACTTGTCCTTTCGTTCGTTGTGGACATTGTTTCACCCTAGTTCATATTTCACCACTTTCAGTGTCGATCGCATTCATCAAGCACTGCCCTTATATACTACTCTATTTTAATTCAGTTCAATTTCTTTACTTCACCCTATTGTGACCGCTAAGATGCTCGCCATGCAGGTACTCTACTATCTGTTAAGTCTAGATTTAGTACAAATAACGTTGGCTATAACATAGAATAGTTGCTGCGGCAGCTAAGCATATATTGAAATATGAAAAGGAATAGGAAAGGTACATAACAAATAGCATAAATACCAGACCAATGCCCTGTCAGTAATTGTTATAATCTTACGCCTTCTTCATTTACCTTACACCTTGCAAGTCTACTGAAATATTTTCCATTGTCGGGAAAGATAAGAATGGCAGACGCTGGCTTAGTGGAACAAACGCAACACAGTATCGGGATATCGGAATCGCTGAGAGAGAAGAGCCCTATGAATGGTGGTACCTAGGATCAGCCTTAGAGATTTGTATTCCACCAGGCCTGTGTATGAATCAACCTCCAATCTATTGCAGTCCAAAATTGATCTATATCAATGTCCATGTCAGGCGTTGCAGTGGCATCGGGGAAGATATTGGGTCCTATATCCGGACCTGGGAAGACTTGTCCGTCGGTACCGTGACTGGTAAAGTTCATCTGCGCAGGTATGGCAGTGCTCGCTATGCCGCTGTGAGGCGGCACCCCGCTGTTGCAGCTCGATATCATGGAGGAACCAGAGTTTTTCTGCCCTACTTTTTGGCGGATATCCAACACGATCCAGGGTGTCTCTACAGGCATGCCCCGTTGCCGGATGAATATCTCACGCGTTCCCCAGGCCTGGAGTACCACCCTTGCAAAGACTGTGAAGGCACTCTGCCCGCTGGGCTTGGGGTGCGTGGCACGCGCTTTGTAATTCTCGCTCATGGCCTGCCAAGCCTTTCCTGTGTGCCTTTCTGTGGGTCTTTTTTTGAGGTGGTTCAGAACGTGGATGTATGCCAGGGCGGGGACATGAAAATCTACGAACCACCGGTACCGACTGGTCAAAGGGGAGACTCGCAGTTTCGTATCACACTCCAGCATCTCTAGGGCGTAGGAAAGAGCAGCATAGCGCTGCGCGTCTGTCTGCTGCGTCGCTGGCGAGGTCGAGTGCCGCGCGTAGTACTCCAGCAGGCGGTTTCTAGCCAGGTAGCCGCGCGTCGTCCAGATTGTCATGTAGTGAAGCGGGTCAGCGGGGTCGCAGAAAGCGAGGTACTTTTCCTCGATAGTCTTCTGTATAGGCGACACCTCATTATGAGCAGAAGTGGAAGTGTGGCGAGGATCCTTTGCCTTAGCCACCGCCGCCAGTACCGGGTTGACAAAGTTGATGTGAAAGTTGGTATGGCGGATCAGGTCGGCGAGCGCGCTACGAACGACCGTGAACAGCGCCTCCGTCGGCTTCTCGTTGTTGGTGGGGGAGGAATTGGTGTCGGGCCGGATCTCAAAATCGTTGGCGTTTGACGGAATCCGGCAGTCCCAAGTAGGTGTCAAGGTGGTGATCCTGTAGTCGGACATCTCGCACATGCGATGATCAAAAACCACCAGTGACCACCAGATTCTTCGGCGCATCTCAGCTTCTACGGGAGTATATCGAGTGTATGTCGACTCATTGTGAAGCCCCATCCGCTGTGCAATCCGGAGGGTGGCAGCGAGCATGGATGAGAGCGAGCGGGGATCTGCTTGCGGCAAAATAGAGACCTGAACCGTTAGTATATTTTTCATCTTTTATATCATCTGAACATGGACAGTTCACCTACCAAGTAGAGGTACACTGCGGTCAAGCCGTCAACATTGGTACAATGCCAGGGCTGACACTTGATCAGCAATTGCCGACACCCCAACCGGTAGCGCGCCAGCAGATCTTCCTTGGATGATTTGAGCAGCTGATGACATTCGTGATCGGCAAGACTCATGACCGCAATGCAGTAGATACTAAACATGAGTGCCTCCAAGGTAGGATGGATATTTCCAAGATCGCTGACCGCATCGACAATCCGCGGCTGGAGCGTCAGTGTATGGGTTACTTTCAGCAGGGGATTTACGTTATCCAGGTACGTCTGCCAGAGCCTGAAGATCTGGGCTTGTTGGGGATGCAGGGCGAGAAGATTCACATTAGCCTGTGGTTGGCCGAACAGAAGATCATCGGTGGTATGGTCATTCTCTTCCGACGGGTCGACGTGGTGGTCCCAGGCGTTTGTTACCTCGTCGTCCTGCGCATCTTGACGGGCGCCGTCGTTATCTTCGGGTTCCAGTGTCTTCTCTGCAGTCAACGGCTGCCGTAACTACGACAACTAGGGATCAACGTACCACTCGGCTTATGGCCTGCCAGAGGTCTCTATCATAGAATTAGTTACTTCTGCAATAAATAAGCTAAGCAGGTGTCATACACTGCCTCGGACTGGACAGGGGTCTGTCCTCTCGCCGTTTTCAACCGTTCACAGTCTCCAGAGATATTAGCGACGACAGGCTCCTCCTTGGTTTGAGGATGCAGGGGCTCAAAGTCAATGTTATGTCGGCGAAGGAGGACTTCGTAGTGGCGCAGCCGGTCCAACAGAACTCGCTCTTGGAACCGACGACGGCGTGGAGTAAGGGTTGCAGGGATACACTGCGTGTCGGACGCGGCACAATTCCCACAGGGAGATTTGTGGTCGCACCTGACTTTCCGCTGTTGACACCTCACACAAGCCAGGAGGCGGGGCGATATTGCCGACGGATTTGAAGACATGCTGAGTGTGATGCGATGTGATGGGGCGAGAATGATGAGGGAAGGTGGAAGATGCAGAGCCGGGGGTTGCTTCGGCCTTTTGAATGGACCGCGGCTAAGTGCTCGGACGATTCTATCTCCCGAACTATCCTCCGTGGCATCTTGCATGACAGCGACTGCAAATATTGAACAAAGCATTGGGAATATAGACTACTATGCAGCATGGGCATTCCTGACTACTTATCCTTTGCGGTTCGGGTCCAACTAATGCCCGGAAAGGGGGTTCTCTTGCCACTTCCCGTACTTGTTAGATAAATATATTTATTTCCCGAGCCACCAACTGCATCTCTTGCAATCTACCTCAGTGTTAGTCTCATAAACTCCATAACCATGGCTACAGAAAGTCAAAACGCGGCACAAGTCGCCGAAACCTCAGCAGATGCACCGACCAAGCCTGAAAGCCTCGAATCAGAGAAAATAACACAAACAACGACGACACCACCGACAACGGCTACAACGGCCATTGTGATCATCTCAGTGCTTCTGAGTATGTTCCTCGTCGCACTGGACAGAACCATCCTCGCCACGGTAATATATGTGCACAAGGACGATCTTAGCTGCCTTCTGCTGACTACTTGTTAGGCCATACCCCAAATAACAGACGAATTCCATTCGCTCACAGATGTGGGCTGGTATGGGAGCGCATACCTGTTGACTTGTTGTGCGTTGCAGTTGATATTCGGAAAGATATATACACTCTTCTCAGTCAAATGGACTCTTCTATGCAGTATCCTGGTTTTCGAAGCAGCTTCTGCCCTGAGTGGAGCGGCTCCCAACTCGACTGCCCTGATCGTGGGACGAGCTATCTGCGGTGTGGGTGCGGCTGGGATCTTTGCCGGTGTCGTAAGCGGATACTTCATTTTCAATATCTAATTCAATGATGGGCTGATCATTGTTTATCCAGGTGGTCTGCATCGTCCATGTCGTCCCTCTCCATAAGCGTCCTCAGATCCAAGGAATGTTTGGTGCCCTGATGGGGGTTTCTTCGATTGTGGGCCCCTTGATCGGCGGTGGGTTTACGTCGAACGTCACCTGGAGATGGTGTTTCTATATCAACCTGCCCGTCGGGGGAGTGGCGATGGCCGTTATCTTTATCTTTTTGAAGATCCCCGACCAGCCTACCGCTCGGACCCCTTTGGACGAGAAGATCAAGCAACTGGATATCCCTGGGACCATCCTCCTGATTCCTGGCACCGTCTGCCTTCTTCTGGCATTACAATGGGGAGGCCAGACCTACCCAGTGAGCGGACCCTTCCTAGATGTGCTTGAGTCGCACCTAACCATTCTTAGTGGAATGACGAGCGGGTGATCGCCTTGTTGACTCTCGCCGGTGTCCTCTTGGTTGGCTTCTCTGCCGTCCAAGTCCTTCTCCCGAGGACCGCCACTCTGCCTCCACGAATCATGAAGCAGCGTAGTGTCGCTGCGGCGTGCTGGGCAACCCTGACTATCAATTGCGGAAACTATATCATCAGTAAGAATCCCGCGACTTACCTCTCCCACACCGAAGAGCTAACCAGATGGTAGTTTACTTTCTCCCGATCTGGTTCCAATCGACTAAAGGAGTGTCTGCTTCCGAGTCCGGCATTCGCACGCTCCCCCTGATGATCTCCATGGTAGCCGGGTCCATAACCAGTGGTACGCTAAACACCAAGATTGGCTACTATACACCACTCGCCATTATCGGGACTTGCCTCATGTGCGTGGGAAACGGACTGCTCACCACGTTCGAGGTGAATACCGGAGCGGGGAAATGGATTGGGTACCAGATCCTGTACGGTTTCGGCCTGGGCTTAGCGTTTCAGGTACCAAACCTCGCGACACAGGCAAGCCTGCCGAAGAAGGACGTACCTACAGGGCTAGCGCTGATGCTATTCGCAACTCTACTGGGGGCGTCGGTGTTCGTATCGGCTGGAGAGAATGTGCTTGCCAATCAATTGGAGAAGAGGTTGGCCGGGGTCGATGGGGTTGATACTAGTTTGATCACCTCTGAGGGCGCTACTTCTTTGCTCCAATCGCTCCCGGATGATGTGCGTAATACCGCTCTTGTTGCATATAATGGGGCTCTGAGAGAGGTCTTCCGTGTTGGTTTAATCCCGACATGTCTGAGTGTCCTCGGGTCTGCAGCCCTGGAGTGGAGGAGCGTCAAGAAGCCGGCAGGACAGAACTCTACGGAGAGCGGAGGGAAGGATACGACTGAAAAACCATGAGAGTGAGACATGTGCAGCGATAAATAAACATGCTGTACACTAGCGGCTAGTATAAACATCTCCCCTTCGATTTTATACGGAACGTGAGTTATTGTACAATGGAACAATAGACTGTTTGTATAATGCCAATCTACTCTTTTCTCTACTTCTCAGCATCGCCTTTTGGAGCGGGCCATTGCAAAGACCAAAAGTGGGATAGTTAGTCATATCTATAGGCCTCATACCAGAACTATTATAACTCGTCTAGATACCGTGCCGGGTTGAATTTGCCACGGTTAAGATGCAGAGCGTCGCTAAAATTGACTTCGGTTGAGTCTCAGCAGACAAACGTGTTCCCCGGGATGGCCTCATCACTTCCCGGGATAGGGATCGGTTTGCAAGAGAGGGTCAACTAGGCTATAGAGAAAAGATAGAAGTTATAGTTACAATTAGGCTCAATACCTCATGTCCATTTTGGTGAGTGCTTAGGGTGTTACACTGAACTTCATCAATTCGGTCGCAATCCATGACCTCGTACCTCTAAACACTGCGCCAGGAACCGGCCGCAGACAACCCCGCAACCCCAACCCCTGACGACCTACACTTGAACAACAAAGGTCTTTTTTATACAGCCAAGAACACGTTGGTCGGCATTGACATCATGATTAGGGAGGTGGTACTAGATTTATCGCATCTGCCCGACATCCGCACCGCGGACCATCAACATGCATGATGTCATCACGGAAGACCGGGGGACCCCGATGCGACGCTGCTAACCCTACCAACAAAAGACTTCAATACACCTACATTGTTGTCCTTTCTTCGCTATTTAGAAAGCCTCATTGAGCATGCAGACGAAGAAGTTAGATCTGCCACGAAATGATAGCGGTCGCAAAATGGCTATACGTTGCTGTGACGGCGTATTTCCACAAGTTGAGGCCGGTTAGCCATGATTATCCTGCTTTGGCAGCAAGGGACAATGGTACAAACGGCAGTGTGGCGTCTCCAATCACATTGACTGTTGAGGAGTCGGGTGGGAATCAGTCTAGTCCTCTGCTTTATGGGGTTATTTTGAGGTAAGTGCTGCGAGGCAGCATGGGATTGTCTTAGTAACATTCTCTTAGGAAATGGACCACTCAGGTACTATCTAGTTCAGTACCTCTGTTGACAGTATCTTGCTGAGTAGATTCAGGTGATGGAGGCATTCACGGGCAATTGCTCCAGAATAATGGCTTCCAGGGGGACGATCCCGGCTTGACTGCATACAAAGCGATCGGGCCCGTCGACCTCATGCAGGACTTGATAAACCCGGTCAGCGGTGCAATAACGTCTTCTTTACAGGTATCTGTAGATTTTGAAGCAACGGGGTTTGTAGGGTTTGCCAATACAGGATACAGTGGGATACCTGTGATGAATGCAACGTATTCGTGCCAGTTCTGGATGATGGGTGAATATTCGGGAACGATTATGCTACAGCTTGCTGGATCAACGAATGATACTATTTATGCTTCGCATAATATCACCGTGAAGAGCTCATGGGGAAAGTTCACCCATTATCAAACTTCTTTTAATTCGAGCGCAGCTCCTGACGGTGACAATGAGTGGCGCCTGCTGTTCAATGGATCAAAGATGGCTGGAGGGATGCTGAACTTCGGTCTGGTGCAGCTGTTTCCGCCTACGTATGAGTCGAGGTACGTTACATTAAGATTACCAATGTCATTCTAATCGGGAACAGGTCAAATGGACTACGGAATGATGTTGCGACATTTCTGGAAAAGACAGCTCCCTCTTTTCTCCGATTCCCGGGTGGCAATAATCTGTAGGTAATCACCCTGAAGATGAAGATCCTCTAACAAGCGGATAGGGAAGGACTACAGATCGACAGCCGTTGGCAGTGGAACCTAACTGTTGGGCCCGTCGTTGATCGTCCCGGGAGACAGGGTAGGGCACCACCACCGAGACCATGCATGACAAAGACTAAATGATGCATAGGCGACTGGTTCTACCCAAACACCGACGCGCTCGGTAAGTCTGCTGCATCCTTCTGCCCCACGAGCATGTGGTAACACACACAGGATTGGACGAATATCTCTGGTGGTGCGAAGACATGAACATGGAACCCGTCCTCGCCGTCTGGGACGGCAAATCATACGGGGGCATTCTATCCGGCGACGATCTCCAGCCATACATCGACGACATCATGAATGAGCTCGAGGTATGCCTCCATACATTACCTCTGTCATCCCCAGCTGACCATCAAGTACCTCCTCGGACCCTCCAACTCCACCTACGGGAGTATGCGAGCGCAAAATGGGCGCAGCAAACCATGGTCCATAAACTATATCGAGATTGGGAACGAAGACGACTTTACCGGCGGATGCGACACATACCCAGACCGCTTCTATCAGATTTACAACGCCATCAGCAACAACTACCCGAATATCACTCTCATTGCATCGAATATAGACTACCTCTGTCTCCCGATTGAACCCCCACCCGGCCTGATATACGACTACCACTACTATCGCAAACCGGACGACCTTGTCGCCATGTTCGACTATTGGGATAACCAGCCGCGCACGCAGCCCATCATGGTAGGGGAATATGGATGTCGGGATACCAGTGAGGCAGACGGGATCTTCTGGTCCTCTATGCAATGTAGCTGCAGTGAGGCAGCACATATGATTGGTCTGGAGAGGAACTCGGATGTGGTGAAAATGGCTGCGTATGCGCCACTATTGCAGCATTTCGGGTATACGCAGTGGTCGGTGAGTTTGGCCTCCTTACCCACATTCTTGTATGTCCATTACTTTAGAGCTAACAAGAATAAAGCCAACGCTCTTTGGCTTCGACTCTAGTCCCGACTCGCTGACACCCTCAACGTCTTATTATGTTCAGCGGATGTTTTCTACAAATCGCGGGGATACTATCCTTCCTGTGAATACAACTGCCACATTTGGTCCGCTGTACTGGGTTGCATCCAGGACGAATAGCACGTATTTTGTGAAGTTGGCTAATTACGGCGCCCAGAACCAGACTGTACGTGTAAAGGTGCCCCAAGCGAAGACCGGGCATGTGGAGATGCTGTATGGGCCGCAGAATGCGACCAATTTCGTGCATAATATTACTGTGCAGCCGACGATGAAGAATGTGACTAGCTCTGTGGGGAGTTATTCCCTGAACATGCCGCCGTGGGGGGTTGCTGTTCTGTCGGTGTCGTGAGGGTCGTTACTGCTGTATGCCAGGAGTTTTCATTGTGGACCAGGTATCTACTGTTCGTGTTCTTTACCATGTAGTACAATAGAAGAAAGGTAAATGCGGATGTAACGAAGGTCCAATGTTTATTAAAAAGATATTCTTCGTCTAAATGTATATACTACATACAAAGCGCTTTCTCAACGTCCCCTTTCAACTACCGCCTCCTGAATAATATACAGAAAGAAGTCACCAGTGACTTATACGCTTAGTAGATGGGCACCTTGAAGGCGGGGAAAGTGTAGTAGAAAGTGTCAGCACCCTCGTCATCGGACTCACACTCCCACTTGTTGCTCTTCCAGACAGGACGCTTGGGGAACTGGCACAGGGACTGAACCTCGCCGTCGTACTTGCCAGCATCGACAGTAGCGTTCAAACCGGTGGGCTGGACACCCTGCTCGACCCACTTGATCATGGTGGCCATGTTATCTTCAGGGAAGGGACCGTTGGGCTGGAGAGTGTTGCGACCGCAGTGAGCAGCACCGGGGACCAGGTACAGCTGATACCATTCCTTCATCTGCTCGATGGCCTTGGAGGATCCGAGCTTGGGGTACATGATGCTCATGACGGATTGCCAGTAGTGCACAGAAGAAGCAGTAGGCACACTGGGGTCGTTCTCACCGTGGTAGTGGATGATCTTACCGCCGGTGGACTTGAAGGTTGTCAGGTCGGGGAGGGTGGTTTGCAGAGTGTCCATGTAGCGGACCATGGCCTTGTTCATCCAGTCCACAAGGGTATCGTAGGTCACATTGTTGAGGGTCTCGAGGTTGCTGAGTTCAACGAGTTCAATGAAACGAGTAACAAATTCACCACCAGTAGAGGGGATATCCACACCCCAGGTGCCGGTGCTGTTGTCGTAGGCGGTCTCGCCATCCGAGAACTCGGATCCGATACGGTAGGACAGGTAGGCGCGTTCACCGGCAGTGTTGAACAGACCATCGTAGATAGTCTGAGCCACGGCAACACCTTCTGCAGTAACATTTCCGTTCTGGGCCGGGGTGTAGGAGGTCGAGGTGCCGTCGCTGCGCTTGTTAAAGTTGAAACCGAGAGAAGTACTGACTTCGGCAGCACAGTGGTAGGGTTCGCCGATAATAGAAGTCAGGTTGAAGTCGAGCTGGCAGAGATCAGTACGAGAGATGACGCCGTCAGTGCGTCCATCAAGAGGATCGCAGGCAGCGATGGTGGCATTAACAATTTTTTCCAACTCGCAGGTAGGGGGATAGTAGTCGAGGGTCTGCTCAACGACACTGGAAAACAGGTGGTTAACCTGCTGCTGGCCGTAACGGAAAGCAGGGGCACCAATAATGGCACCATCGTACTCGTCACCGTAGCGCTGGATCTGACTCATACCCTGACGGCCACCGTCAGAGCAACCCTCGTAGTAGGTGTAAACCTTGGCATCATCGTCCAAGCCATAGAAGGCGCGGGTGAGAGGCTTTCCGACAGTGGTCATCTCGCCCAGGGCCTGGTAGGCGAACATGAAGATGGGATCCCAGTTGATAGTGCCGTTGCCGGAGAGGTTGACCTCGTCCACGGTAGTGCCGTTCAAAGCACCATAGCCAGCATCGGTAGCACCTCCGACAGCGCCATACTCGAGACCACCCGTAGAGGAGGTGCTCAGGGAATAACCAAAGCCACCTGCCACATAGAAGCGGTTCTTGAAGTCGGCAGGGCTAGGGAAGCCGTAGTTCAGAACGATCTCGTTGGTGGTACCCGTGTGGACGTAAGAGACAGACACAGCACAGTACTCAGTCGAGTCTTCGGTGGTGGTCTTCGCCGTCACGGACGAAGGGATTAGATCAATACCGAGCAGAGTGCCATTGGCAGGGAGAGCCGACTGCACATGAGAGACGGTACAGAGGGAAGCAAGGGAAGAGGAATTGGCAGCGCGGGCCGATGCTGCCAGAGCAACGGCGGCCGCAGCGGCGCGCGAGTATTGACGCATGATACAAATGTCGAAAATAGAACGAAAGGAAGGATCGGAGTCCGCAGGCGGTTCGAAAGAATGAATGGACAGATGGGGGCTGAAGAAGGAGGGAAGGAAGCTTGGTTGAAGAGCGATCGTCGGGGTGGTAATGCGAGACTATTTAAGGCCAAGATAGAAATATTTGAACGCTGTGGGCATCACCTCCTGGAGTTGCGTACGTCACACCATATGTTCCATGGTTTCTAGTCTAGATTGCCTTGTTCTGCTGCCATCTCGATACAGTATGGTAGCAGAGGCTCGACAGGATGTTTGATGGCAGCCTAACAGGAGGGGCTGGAGTCTCCTGAACGACCCTCATCTTCCCTCCCGTGTGAGAAGCTTAATCCACTTAAAGACAAGCAGGGTTTGGAACCTCTGATCCAGTGTCCCACTGTGATAAAGGGACCCCAGTGGAATACGTAAGACTCGAGAACTAGCAGCCCAAGAGCTTCTCTTCCTGATGGGTCAGACATATTTTCATCGACACATAGCAAAATATCCATCAGGAAAGTTCGTTCACAGTGTTCATCTTGCGGTATCGTCTTGAGTGCTCTCTTTCTTCCCCTTACTTAGTACTCACCCTGCACGGCTCTACTTCGGGAATTTATGTAATCTACTAATGTAGACAAGCAAAAAGACAACCCGGGGCTCGCTTCGCCCAGTGACCACATTTTTGAAGAAGTGGGGGGCCATCTTTGCGACGTCCAGGGGTATGCAGTAAGAGAACCCTGGTGTGCAGACGCTGATTGGTGCACATGCAGTTCCGAACGAACTCCGGAAGAAGATTTACCAGCAGGGTTACGCGTTGCACTATCGAACCTTCTTAGTGAGTTTCACTGTAGAACCGTCGAACTGGACTTGCTGCACTACATTCAGATAAGATTTTTAGGATTTACTGCACACCCGAAGGGGTCCAGGGACTTGAAACTAACTACCGGTTCCATATCGAGAATCTCCTATATCATTGGCTAAGGCATACCTAGCGTGTATTTGACCGCTGAACCATAAAGCCATCTTCGGCATCGATCGAATAGGCTATATGCAGCGAGGCTGAAGAGAAACAACAGAGGTAGTCAGTAAAATAAGCCCAGCACTCCTCCAGATGGTGATCGAAGATTTTTAACCTTAAGCTTGATTTTCACCGCGAGGGCAAAAGTGGATCGGACCGTGTTTCCCGATCGGGACTAATTCGCCGAATCTGGCCGAGGTTTTCATTCGTTTTCTTCTCGCCTTCGACGATGACTACCTTCGGATTCCTTGCCTTGTTCTTCACACCGGGTTATGCCCCGAGAATTTTGATTAACCACCATTAAGGCTGTGGTGTCCGTTTTTCTGAATCCAAAGCGAGTGAAATCACCACCTTGCCTCTCCCTCTCCACATTTTTCCAGATCCATACACAGGGCTGCGCCGGGCACGGGATGTAATCGTCCGCCCTTACTCGATTACGGTATAACACATGACACCGACAAGGAGGGCTCTTAGTTTAATCTAGTCTGGTAGTATAATTGTAGTAGGCGTTGACGATGCTCCATTCGCTTCCAGGGACGGAATGTTTAGACGATGATCAGGCAACTCCGGGTAAAGAATTTCTCTCAGCGCAGCATCCATGCCGATGTCCCACGCAACATCCTCAGTGTCATGGGCTAGGACTTTTCAGAAGAATTCCTCTATCTCCCTATCGCGAAATTAGATCCATCGAAGAAATAACGTTGACGTTTTCCCTTCCCCCAAATGGGCGCACCCGCCGCCCAAATGCCGTAAATTCCTTGTGTGGGTGGGTAAAAACTTTTGCATGCGATCCACAGTAGATTAATCTCTCCCCTCACAATCCAAAAACCTAATCAGTCGGCCCACTAGGAGACGTAGGAAGCACATCGTAATGAGCTAGACTGATAGATTTTTGTGGAGTCATGATATTTCAGCGGATGAAGGTTCGTCAGCGGTGCATATCCCTTGGCTTGCGGATTTTCACTATAGAGTGATCCGGAGGCATCCGCAGTTGTACAGTGTCCTCATTCGTAATTTCTATTGGTTTTCTTCTTCTTACACTTGCTGTTCGTGAGTTTGATGTACCATTAAACACATGCATTCAATCATGTTGGATCGCGTCATAGACGGCGAAACAACTCCAGGACAAGAAATGCATCCTTCTACACCTTCACGTACATCGCGTTTGATGAAATATGTCTAATCTGCATCAACTACGCTTTTCTGTCCAGTCCTCCAGGCACCCATCTCTGTTACTTTCCCAAACAGTAATATGTCGGGATTTGTCCAACTGATCTTAGCACAGACTTCGGCCCCCGTTCCGCGCACATGGAATGCGTAACGCGGATAAATTATGGTCAGGAATCAGCTACTCATCGGCCGAGTGAGATATTCCCCTTTGTATGCACCTATACTATGTTTCTGGACATATCTATGCAAGGAATCTGCATTGACCCAACATCACGGGATACGGGCCGTAGATTCGCATCGTTGCCCTTACGCAGATGAGGAACAACCTGTGTACGATCATGAATGCGCAGTGGCAATGTTTTTTGTACGCATTGGATTGCAATCATGTAAATATATTTATACCTGAATTTGAAACTATCTACTGCTACCAGATAGTTTGAAGAGAGTCATGCATATTCTGTCTCAATAGTAAGAACTTGGGCAAAGGCGTATCAAGTAACAGTCTTCTATGTCAGTATCAGTGATTAATGATACTGTGCACACGATGATTAGTTAGCTAGATCTTTCTTTTGAACCAGCATGCCACTCGTCTACTCAATATTTATATGTAGTTGAATATATATATCTACTATTAAGATGCAACATGAATGTAGTACTAGTGTAGTATGAATCATCTATCAAAAAGCATGATAACGAAGGAAGCCATTCCCTCTATCTACAAGAGAAATTTACGTCAAGTAACGCAAGGGATTGGGATCAAATATAATCTTGCCAGCGCTGAATAAACACACTGTCAGTCATCGTATAAGTGACCGAAACAAA